GGATGTTATTATTAAACATTATGTTTGGGAGTTGTAAGCTAAGTTGCGTTAAATAATCACGTAAACACTCAAAGGAATGGGATAGAAGTAGAAGAGAGAAACACACTTATTGAGTACATTAGAGGTTTTTGGGAAGAAAGGAGAAAAACTAGAAAATACTAGACAATAGCCATTATTGTGTTTTAGCGCTAGGCAAAACCAGAACGATCGAAAGTAGTAATCTCTTATGTGAATAAAATAACAGTTTCGTCTGCAGATTGTTTGAGTTTATCCTAATGTTTGTTGTTTTTGCAACGTAGGAAAGCCTAAAATATTAATTTCAAATGTTTGTCTGTTTGTCTATCGGTATGAATGAATACAACGCCAAATTTGTTTTTAAAACATTTACAAATATGAACAATGCCTGTTGCTGCAATAGGTTTACAGAACTTAAACCAAATTACTTAATTAACTAAATTATTTACTTAACTAACTTATTTAATAGAAGTCTCAAATTACAGTACAGTTGAACCCATTCTGTGCTCTCTGAGTTGAACGTACAGTATTCGTTTTGCAGCCCCACGCAATGTTGTACAGTAGCTGTCTTTGCTGTTGTTTAGCCAAATATTGCTTTGGTTCGTTGGAGTTGACAAATTGAATCGAGGCAGATATAAATCTGGCACAAAAGACTGTTTAAAGATGTTGTATTTTTTACATTGTGCTTTAGTGTGTAGCGATTGTACAATTTATTAGTAGACTGTCGTTGAAAATATTGTTTAATTGTGTTTTTTTCTAAACTACAAATAAGCAGACACACTTTCCCGTTTTTTGCATTTCAATTTTGACAGAAGCGAGAAAATGTTTTCCTATTTTTGACGGCAACAACTAAACCATAGGATACTAACCTAAGGATATAATTATCATTGGTCATACTAACTAATAACTTGCTTTAATAATAACTTAAATAAGTAACCATCGCTATTACTGAATTCGTATACTGTAAGTTTTAATTATGATTTTTTGACGTATGTTTGATATTGGTTTCTTTTTGGTTCGTTGATTTCGAATACATGTTTCCTTTTTATTGGGGGAAATATTACAATATGTCCTTAATTCTGTAATTGTAACTGTCATACATTTTCTTGTTCGTAACGAAGATCGTTCTCTTTAGTCAAAATAATGAAAAAAAATTGGTTAAATAATAATTAGGCACCCAAATTAATATACTAAAAACGTATTATACACTACATATAACCATAGATGGGTATATGTTATCTATGATTTTTGTCTATGCTATGATATAACATACGGAAATGTACATAATCGCCTTCGTATCGTGTACGAAATTAACGCTGGCATCAAAATATACGGTTGTATGTAAAATAAAACTGTTTAGTGTATTTGATAAATGTATTTAGAAAACGACGAAGAAGTATAGAATTTCTTTTGAAATCAACTAACCCACTTTTCGGAAACTCACAACATTGTATTGTTACTATATATTAACTCCACCAGTACATTATAGGCCTACATTAATTAAAAGCAAATGAAACATTTCTCAGACATTTTTGTTTAACACTGTTGAAACAAACATGTTAAAAATTGAGTCTAGCTCTATTTGAAGTCTAAAAACTGTAAATAATTATATTTGATATTTATTTGAGCGGAACGTTACCCCATGAATGTCCGTAATTTCTTAGTTTCGTCTCGTAGTTAACATAACAAGTGGTCGGAGTGAGAGAAGACAATTACGTCATCGTCCTTGTGGCGGTAACGGTGGTGACGTCATGTCCCATCTGGCGTCCAGGTGATTCCTGTGATACCCCGGAGCCTCTACAGGCATGCGGCATTGTACACTTGGGAAAATGTTTTGGTACAAATCAAATCAGAAAAATTGGAAATTTGCTTAGTCTGCAGGTTTGCAGTGGCGGGGGTATTTATTTGTGTTTCATATTCGGTCATGCCTAAATGCGATTATGTTGACCAAGTGTTCATTTATAGTGTATACTTGTATTAGAATTACTATTTCAAAACTAATATATTAAACAGGCCTATTAAAGTACTCAGGTGTAGGTTTAATTGGTAGGACGTTGCAAACAAATTATACAGTGTATTTTCGGATGAACTCCTGTCTTGTGAAATAGGAACGGAACCCGCGAAGGTCCATGTTAAATCTTGACTCCTTCCGACGGTAAAAGACAAAGTAATTCTGTTACAACAGAGTTCCGTAGAGAAATCAAAGTTTCGCAATTTGTGTATCCTGAGAAGTACAGCGAAGTGGTGCAACCTCGATGCATTTAAACATTTATTGTACAGAGCCTTTTCTTTAGCTTACCTTTGATTAAACACGATTCTTTTTTATCAGCGAATTTCCCAATAAAGATAAATCTATTACCGTCCGCGCGGCAAGACTTGTAGAACCGGGACCGATTTATTTTTTTAATTTTGATGTTCGCAGAGGTCAAATACAATATTCGATGAAATTTGTACGTGTGTGTCCGTGAATGCGATAACTCTAGTTAATTGTGGGCTGACTTTTTTGTGAAATTTGGAACGTGTAAGGTTTTTGGAACACTTGAATTAGTTTGCAAACCAGTAAGATCGGGCCATTTTGGGTGTTATAGAGGATTGATTTTGAAAATTTATTTAAACAATTTTTACCCTTTAATATACAAGTGTCATAATTTCATTTAAAACTATCGTGTAGAGCTTAAAAAATATTGTGTATCGAAGCGTTAGTGTACCATTAAAGGTTACGGAGAGTATAGAAAAACTCGATATTACATAAAAATATTGAATTACACACTTGAACCAACGAATACGTACATAGCCAGAATAAGCTTAACCTTGCATATTGATAATTGCAGCAGTGTCCAAAGTCAATGGTATGGAGAAGGCAGGACCACATCATGTCCTTGGCATTGCTATCCTGAATGAGTCGAATTCTTCACTGTTGTGTTTTAACTCTTGGTATTTTTATTGAGAAGGAGAAAACCTGTTAATTACTTATTTACCGAGAAACGTGATTATACTGTTAAGCTTTTAAATTGCCGGTGGCTAGCTTACTCAAACCTTCCGTTTAAATGATTGTGATATTTTTACTTACTAATTTCTATAACCATTTAATTATTTTGGTACTTTGATTGGTAGTTTTCGTCCTTTTTACAGTTGAAGATTTTGTACTTGGAGTGGCAGAAAAATCCCAAATTAATTTGTTATATTTATTTCAATGGAAATCTGATTAACTTTTTCTGAGTAGTCTGTGAAGTGAAAACTTTGTATGTTTTGTGTCTAATTGTTACATCTTTTTGCAGGTAAGTTTGCCGTTTACTTTTGGCGTTGGTGAGTTTTGTACAAAATCTGAAGATTGTTTTAATCAATTAAAAATATATCGTGCACTTAGAATACAACGTTGTTTAGAAAATGTTCTTACCGATACAAGTGCATTGATAATTTTATCATTTTCGTATTACGTTTTATTATTATAGTTTTGATGTTAAGATTGTTAATAGTATTAGTCTAATATGTAATTTTAACCGATTCGTCTGTAATTCCAAATTAACAAAAGGTTTCTTACCGTAGGTTTTACTTTTTGGGTTAAAATATTAATTGTAAACTAGGTTACAGTACATAAAAGGTTACATAAAATTAAATTTTTTACGAAGTGTTTCACAAATGGTTTTTACATTTCCATCAGATAGTAGATATAAGTCTCTTCACGATTTTTGGGCACCGTTGGACTCTTAACGGTTTATAGTTTTCATTGGAAATTATACGAAATGAGTCAAATAGCTGGTGAAATTTCCAATCTTTCGCTCCCATTATCGTTGAGCAAGTCTTGGTGAATTGAATATTTTCTTTTGAATCAACTAGGGAGATTGTTTTTGTTGGAGATAACTGCTCTTGCTGGATATTTGTTGCAAAGTTTTCGTTGGTTTTATTCCATCATGAGTTCGTAATCGAATCTGTTTTTGAATCTCAAATAGATTTTTCTTTCTTTTTACGAGTCAGGAAATTTTGAACTCAAGCGTACGAGTTCTCTACATCTTTCATTTGTAGATATTGTTACCAGAAATAGTTCTTAAAAGCATCGAGTGTTAGTTCATTACTGAATTTCAGTTTTGTTCCCGAAAAATTTTAGCCATTTATACGGACTTCTCAAAATCCACATGTACAACAGAACTTGTTCTTTCATACGCTCCCTGGACTTTCGTGATACTGAACGATTTAGGAGGGAAGTCAAAGTTTCTTGCTGGAGCAAGGCTAAACAAAATTAGGGATGTTTCGGCTTCTTTAAATTGTAAATGAAAAATTATATAGGCATGTATTTTGAAAGTGAGTTTCGTGACATAATCCATCTTCTAGTGGATGCAAAGAAGAATGTAAGATTTATTTTTATTTTGCGTTTTACTACCCTATTGGAATTTAAGGGTGTTTTTGTAAGGAAACATCGATATTGTTTTGTTACTACTCTCATGTCGACCTTTTACTGGTAGCAGCATCCCAGCATTAATCGGTTGCTACCCGTCCCGATTTTGGTTCCTTATGCCCGTATTTAAACCTATGTTAATCCAGGAGGGATGGAGGCAATGCCCCGTTTTTTCCTGACCTAAGGTGACAACCCTGGCATTAATTGTCTCCCTACAATTGCAAATGTTGTATATTTTGCTTTAAGTAGGAGTTTCGACGTTATAACACAAAAATTTCTGTGGAAAATCTTTGATTTCATTTTTCACAACCGTTGACTCTTCCCCTGAATCAACTGTCGGCCAATCAATTCCCCACGTGCATGCTCTACAAACATGTTTATACTCGGTCTGATGGTATATGAACCCAGAAACTGTTATTCGCGAGGTTCGTCTACCAGAAGACTGGTTGTAGCATGTGACCTTGCCAACCGGTTGCTGTCAGCTGTGGCTCCCCGCTGCAGCAGACCTACGCCACGCCCTCCCCACCACGGTGCATGGTACGTCGGTACATGCGGGTGAACCGAGTCAGTTAGTCAGTAGTCAGTCGGTGAAGTCAGTTCGTGAGTTAGATGCACCGGTTAAGTGAAGTGATCGTGCAAGTGCGGTTATTGTGCAGTGTGTGTTTTTTATAATTAATCAGTGATAAAACAAGGTGTAAAGAGTGTATAGGTAATTTGCTGAAATGAGTGATTGTAGTGTCATGTTTTAACAAGATCTTGCTTGATTGTAAAAATATTACTACGCATATTGCCAAAAATAGTATTTATAGTTAATGATAACGAGTGATGAGTTTAATTTTTTGATACAATCACGCTCATACTGGATTACTGAAATCTTCTTTAAGTGTCTACACGTTCTATATTGGTGGTTATAATTGTATTGGCTTAGTCACAATTTTGACAGCACTCACAATTTACTTGCATCAGTGGGGAAATTAGTCAAATTGATCTTATTTAGTTTTAAAGTTAGTCACGCACTTGAGGATTGCAACGTAAAATAGCAACGTGTAATCAGTCTTTAAGTGCAATCTCTTATCATACTGTCAGACACCGTCAGATGATTCTATGAACCTTATCAATATCAACTGACGGACAATCCTATAGGAACTACTGTCAGACAAACCTGTAGACAATAGCAACAGTCAGACTATCCTATAATAGAGATTAGCAACAGTCAGACTATCATATAATATACATTAACAACAGTCAGACAATCCTATTGACATTAGCAACAGTCAGACTATCCTATAATAGACTTTAGCACCAGTCAGACTATCCTATAATAGACTTTAGCACCAGTCAGACTATCCTATAATAGACTTTAGCAACAGTCAGACTATCATATAATATACATTAACAACAGTCAGGCAATCCTATAGACATTAGAAAGTCAGACTATCCTATAATAGACATTAACAACAGTCAGACAATACTATAGACATTAGCAACAGTCAGACAATCCTGTAGACATTAGCAACAGTCAGACAATACTATAGACATTAGCAACAGTCATACTATCCTAATAGACATTAGCAACAGTCATCCTATAATAGACATTAGCAACATTCAGACAATCCTATAGACATTAGCAACAGTCAGACAATCCTGTAGTCATTAGCAACAGTCAGACAATACTATAGACATTAGCAACAGTCATACTATCCTAATAGACATTAGCAACAGTCATCCTATAATAGACATAGCAACATTCAGACAATCCTATAGACATTAGCAACATCAGACAATCATATTGGCATCAGCAACAGTCATACTATCCTATAATAGACATCAGCAACAGTCATACTATCCTATAATAGACATTAGCAACATTCAGACAATCCTATAGACTTTAGCAATCGTCAGACAATCCTATAGACATTAGCAACATCAGACAATCATATTGGCATCAGCAACAGTCATACTATCCTATAATAGACATTAGCAACAGTCATACTATCCTATAATAGACATTATCAACAGTCATACTATCGTATAATAGACATTAGCAACATTCAGACAATCCTATAGACATTAGCAACATCAGACAATCATATTGGCATCAGCAACAGTCATACTATCCTATAATAGACATCAGCAACAGTCATACTATCCTATAATAGACATTAGCAACATTCAGACAATCCTATAGACATTAGCAACATCAGACAATCATATTGGCATCAGCAACAGTCATACTATCCTATAATAGACATCAGCAACAGTCATACTATCCTATAATAGACATTAGCAACAGTCAGACTATCCTATAATAGACATTAGCACCAGTCAGACTATCCTATAATAGACTTTAGCACCAGTCAGACTATCCTATAGACATTAGCAACAGTCAGACAATCCTGTAGTCATTAGCAACAGTCAGACAATACTATAGACATTAGCAACAGTCATACTATCCTAATAGACATTAGCAACAGTCATCCTATAATAGACATTAGCAACATTCAGACAATCCTATAGACATTAGCAACATCAGACAATCCTATAGACATTAGCAACAGTCAGACAATCCTGTAGTCATTAGCAACAGTCAGACAATACTATAGACATTAGCAACAGTCATACTATCCTAATAGACATTAGCAACAGTCATCCTATAATAGACATTAGCAACATTCAGACAATCCTATAGACATTAGCAACATCAGACAATCATATTGGCATCAGCAACAGTCATACTATCCTATAATAGACATCAGCAACAGTCATACTATCCTATAATAGACATTAGCAACATTCAGACAATCCTATAGACATTAGCAACATCAGACAATCATATTGGCATCAGCAACAGTCATACTATCCTATAATAGACATCAGCAACAGTCATACTATCCTATAATAGACATCAGCAACAGTCATACTATCCTATAATAGACATTAGCACCAGTCAGACTATCCTATAATAGACTTTAGCACCAGTCAGACTGTCCTATAATAGACTTTAGCACCAGTCAGACTATCCTATAATAGACTTTAGCACCAGTCAGACTATCCTATAATAGACTTTAGCACCAGTCAGACTATCCTATAATAGACTTTAGCACCAGTCAGACTATCCTATAATAGACTTTAGCACCAGTCATACTATCCTATAATAGACATTAACAACAGTCAGACAATCATATAATATACATTAACAACAGTCATACTATCATATAATAGAGATTAGTAACAGTCAGACTATCCTATTGACATTAGCAACAGTCAGACTATCATATAATATACATTAACAACAGTCAGGCAATCCTATAGACATTAGAAAGTCAGACTATCCTATAATAGACATTAACAACAGTCAGACAATACTATAGACATTAGCAACAGTCAGACAATCCTGTAGACATTAGCAACAGTCAGACAATACTATAGACATTAGCAACAGTCATACTATCCTAATAGACATTAGCAACAGTCATCCTATAATAGACATTAGCAACATTCAGACAATCCTATAGACATTAGCAACAGTCAGACAATCCTGTAGACATTAGCAACAGTCAGACAATACTATAGACATTAGCAACAGTCATACTATCCTAATAGACATTAGCAACAGTCATCCTATAATAGACATTAGCAACATTCAGACAATCCTATAGACATTAGCAACATCAGACAATCATATTGGCATCAGCAACAGTCATACTATCCTATAATAGACATCAGCAACAGTCATACTATCCTATAATAGACATTAGCAACATTCAGACAATCCTATAGACTTTAGCAATCGTCAGACAATCCTATAGACATTAGCAACATCAGACAATCATATTGGCATCAGCAACAGTCATACTATCCTATAATAGACATTAGCAACAGTCATACTATCCTATAATAGACATTAGCAACAGTCATACTATCCTATAATAGACATTAGCAACATTCAGACAATCCTATAGACATTAGCAACATCAGACAATCATATTGGCATCAGCAACAGTCATACTATCCTATAATAGACATCAGCAACAGTCATACTATCCTATAATAGACATTAGCAACATTCAGACAATCCTATAGACATTAGCAACATCAGACAATCATATTGGCATCAGCAACAGTCATACTATCCTATAATAGACATCAGCAACAGTCATACTATCCTATAATAGACATTAGCAACATTCAGACAATCCTATAGACTTTAGCAATCGTCAGACAATCCTACTGACATTAGAAGCAGTCAGTCGATCCGATAGATAGACACTAGCAACCGTTTGACAGTACATACATATATTTATGTACATTTTGTTAGCTATCAATTTCCTACAAGTTGTCGATGTTGTTAATTTTCCACTCTTGATACGCTCTACAGTATTGTTTGCACACCTGTGTATTATGATTGCATGTCGAAGGTATGCATACAATTTTATGAAAATGGTTTACTGTATTGAGTATAGACTGTTTATCTCTAAACGACCTCTGATCGAATTAGAACGATTATAACATTAATAATTTTAAACTAAAAATACTCTTTGACGTGACGAGCAATCATCCACACAAATTGTTTTGTGTTCAGTCTGATTTTCAGTACGTAGCCTAATTATCACAACTTTTACACCTGTGTTTTCAAATGGCGTATTTCCATTAGATATTTTAAAAGCCTAAACAAGCCTATATCAAATCGCTGCTGAATTTGTACGATTCATGCTCGATTCCCTACTCACTTTTCTTTTTGTAACATTGTCTACCACAATTAGGCCTTGTCGCGAATCCTACGTATTACAAGGCCTTGGCCGAAAGTGTGGGAGTGGGATTGTAAAGTGAACCTAATTGTTGTATTGTTCTGGTGTTACTGAACGCACAAGAAAGTTCTAAAACGCAACGGTGGTTCAAATTAACCTGCGAATATGATGGTTTATTTTTCAAACAGTCAAAGCTAACTTTGTTAAAATGTCAGACGTATGGAGTCACAGTAGGGTTGTCAATAGGAATATTTTCAGATATTTTTTGAGTATTTCCGCATTTATTAAAAATGTTCTGTAAACCGAGATAAACAACCATATAGCTATAAAATAGTGAAATTAAACAATTTGTTGTGTAGCTTTTTTCCTAAGCTAACCTATCTTAGGGGGTTAAAATTTCCTACAGAAATGTAGGAATACTTTACAAAAAAACATAATATTATTTTTATTTTTATTTGCAACATTGTTAACAATAAAAGATAGTTTCATACAAAATTGCGTATAATCTATACAAAAACGTCTCAGTTTCGAAAGGTTCTCCACTTTTACCTCTCCAATATTTGGGACGATCTCTGATGTAATTTATTTTAACATGAAACTTTGCTAACCAATGTCTCAGCTTTTGAACACTATTGATCCAGCGAACCATTGTGTAATAGTTGATGGTAAATTGATGTTCAACGTAGGGTTAAGTGTCAACGTCTTCCCACGTCAGTGGAATGTTGACATTTAGCAGTGAACACGCACACACACACACACACGACACATACCTCGGTGTGTCTGCCGGTCACACACACGAAGGTAATCAGCTGATTTTGACGCTTGGGAATCTGAGAATTGCAACAACGTGTACACCGTTAGTTTCAGCTGTAATTTGAGTCGGTAAACTGTGTGATGGGTTTCTACTAAAGTGTTTCTTGGATAGACTTGAAAGGTTTTGTTTCTAAGTAGTTTAGGAAATTTGAAATACAGTTTAGTTAACGGAATGTTTCACGATGTTTTGGAATTTGAAATCTGATGCATTTTTCAAATGAGGAGACAACTTAGAAACACCATTATGAAGTTAAAATTTAACCAGTTGTAGAATGAAAATAAACGTAGATTGATTGATTCCCCGACAAAATATGTTGTCAATTACAGTTTTCTGTCATATAAACCGATGAGTGACGTAGCAAAACTGACGACTTATTGTAAACTTAATTATTTTTATGCCACATCTATTTATAATGTAGGCCTACACAAAGACTTTAAAAAAGTAGGCATCTTGTCGTAATGTAAAATCGGAAGCCAGTGTTGGTATGTTTTTTGTTGCCTGTGTATGAATTTTGGGGACGTTTGTGTGTTCCTGTGTCGTCTACTTTGTAGATTGTGATTTCGTCTTCGGTTAAATAAAAGTGGAGAAAAATAGTAGATTTCGCACATATTCAGTTATGACTGGTTAAAAAAACAAAATATAGTAAAAACGTACACCTATAGAAACCAGGCAGAACTGACCTCAAATAGTCTCAAACTGATACTCAAAGATGATAAATCTAATTCTAATAAACGTACTCTTTATTTTATCCTTATCACAAAATTAAAGTACTTTATGTACGGAAACGTTATTGTTTTTGTTTTTGCTTTCACTAACCTAACATTTATTTCGTCATGATAAATATTTGTTAACTACCGTTTCCCCTATGGTGTAAAAACAGGCTGTCAAATTTACCCTGAAATCATCGAGAAACATATTCGACTCAAGCACCACCGGATACGAAAGTCAGCGTTTATAATTATGCAATTATTGCTGACGTCACACACTTCTGACTGCATTGTTCAAGTGGAATATTTTCTCCATCTTTGGCGCCTGACGAATCAACACTAAAAGGAATTATAATTTCTCTTTGGGAATCCAGTCTATATTTAACGCCTACATTGGCTTGCCTCTGCTTAAATATTCTCAGTACAGTCTTATTAGGCAGATTCGTATTGGAACGAAATAAAGATAAAATAAAGAACGAAGATAAAGTTGTTAGTTCTACACAGGGTTACTAATCAATTTTAAATTTTACTATTTTCACATTAATTGTTCGTTGTCTCAGGTTTGGTTTGGAGAATTGTGTGCTTTTAGATAAAGCAATTCTAGAAAACACTTGGGTAGCTTTAAATATTTTACATAAATAGATAGACATTTTCGTTTCAAATTTTTAAAGGCCCACTAATTAATTGTTAGAAACGCGGAACTTAAAAAAAAAAAAACATATAGACCTTGTAGTACTAAATGCGAAGTTTCTAATCCCGTTGCGAAGATTTGTTCTATCCGGTTTAAGGCCTATGTAGGTGGCTTTTATCGTTTTATGATTTTCTAAATTGTGTGTTAAAATGTTCCCAACCCTACTGCTGAGACTTAATTGTTTTCAATCGATCAAAACAAACCACAAAAAAGGTGTGAACATTTCATGTCAAGTTCAGGTCTCCCTCGGCGAGTAGTCTATATCAGTAGCCCCTGAGTCATCGCTTACCGCCGTTACCGGTCCCATGCTCTGCGAAACTTTACCGTTACCAGTTCCTGCTACCCAATTACCACAGCAACACAGTCTAGCGGTAGAATAATAGTACAATTTTGTGCATCGTTGTTGAACAGTTTGGATTATTTAGTACACATGTCGTATAATGTTCTAGCTACAGCCATTTGAGGAAATATACAGGAAAACGACATCTAAAGTTTTGGGACAGAAGGGTTCCATCCGTTCCGGGTTGTACGTGAATTCGTCCCAGTGAAAAAGCTCTTGGGACCGTAAATAGCGGAATTACCATTAACAATTCCAATAACGATTAATGTTGAAATGCAAGTATAGTAAACATTGCTGATAAAATTTTAAATCTGATAAAACCACAAAAATACGGCATTATCCAGGTGATTATAACGACTGCCGATCGGGTTTTAACCGTGACTTTATCCATAACAAGACAGGTTTATTTTAGTGCTTTTCCCACATTTTCACGAAACAATAGGATGTACACTATCAAATTTCACAGAAACCTTCGTAGTTTCTACAGGTTTTGTTTACCTAACTTATATTGTTTATGTACAACTTCTCTTCCAACTGTTTTCTACGTCGTTTGTATTAGAGGAAAACCCTGTCGCCGGGTCCGTGTGTTTGTACACAGGGTCGCGCTGACGAGCGACGACGTGATATTGAAAGTGCTCTCGGTCGGGGTTATCGTCCTATGAGTCGCAGTTCCTTATATAGTAGCCTAGTTATGAGGCCAATATGTGACTTTGACCGGACGTAAATTTCCGGTGCCTTAAGGCGAAGGTAAGTGCCAAAATACATTTCCACTTGTGCAGTTCAAATTTTCGTCAATCAAAAGGTGATGACTAGTTTTGTTGTCAAGTCAACATTCACCTGAAATGCGCAGAAAAAAAATAAATAGATGCGGTCACAGACAATTAGACCACCAATGTAGTGGTACAACTCACAACACAAACGTTACTCAAAACTAACAAAGAATCTACTGACATCGCTGGAACCGTTTGTAAATATTTGTAGCGGTATTGTTGTTTCGTGTTGTATGTAGTTTTTTATGTAACTATTTGATTTTATGTAATGTGTTGAAAGCTTTAATGTTGCACTTAAAACGAAACTAGCCTATAATATTTAAACAATTTCGTTGAATATTTGTACTATAAACGGAAGTAAGGAAGGCTATTTTGTTATCAAAGAACAAAATTATAATTAAAATTGTAATTATTGGTTGTATGGGTTGTCAGATTAGTGTATTTCGCACTTGCTTCGTCGATCGTCACGGACAAAAGACAATGTTTATCCTCGACAGCAGGCTAATATGGTGGATCCGTGGAACCTGTCTCCTGACCCTCCTGTCACGCCGTCTACGATGGATACAGGTTCCATCATACAGACTATAATCGGCCGAAGCACTCGGTAATTAGACATTGCGTTGAATCGGCCCATATATATGTCGTATACATACATCGGTAAAACGTATATTGTGTACGATTTGATTCTACTTACTTGTGACACGAATCTTGCTTCCAATCCCGTGTTCTATAAGATTCCGTGATCTAATTAGTGAATTTTAATAATTGCATTTACACGTTACGTTTACAAACATAAAGAAACTCTCGCGACTTTGTTTTGCTTTCAACACAAAAAGTAGATCTTCCACGGTTACAATTACCCCAATAGTGTGGTGTAGGTACAATTCTGCCCTGAAGATGGCTTCTGCAACGAGGCCGAAACGTCAGATCAAGTTACGTGTAATATGATGCGGTTCTCACTTTGACGACAATGATATTGTCGTCATTACCATGTTTTATTTGGTTATATCAATTGTGAACCTGAGTTCTTAAGGATTTGAACGAAATTCAGACCTAATTCAATTGAAATATAGACTAAGCCAAAATCTAGAGTTGATGAGCTAAATCTAAATTTTTCTCCGTAAAAAAAAACATAAACACGGTTTTATTCAAACATACAATAGTCAAGAAGTATCTAAGACTTCACAAGTTGACTTTTGCAAGACTTAAGTTTTTGGTCGCACGGCGATATCGGTGATTTGATCCTCTTCTGGTCTTATAATCGCAGGATAACCGAGCGACTTTCCGAAGGGTTTGAGTCGATGATCCTACTGGGGCTATTGTAGGACTTTGTCCTCTTCAGCCTTCTTGACGGTCAACTGTATATAATGATTGCAGGGTGAACGCACCATCCGACACGGTAGTTTACATCACACCATAGTGTGACAATATGGTTATTGTCCTGGTATATTTTACCTGCAGAATCAAGCGACGTTGACAATTTGGTAATCAATTGCTAAGTTTGATACGCCTTTCAATTTTAGTCCTCAGTTAATGGTAGGGGCCTACTGCTCATAGCAAAAAAAGTTTGTTTTTTAGTTTTTTTTTGTTTTATGTTTTGGATTAGAATTTCCCTATTTAAGTTATATAATTCATTACTAGTATAGTTAACGAAAAAAAATGAAACCTTACATGGCTTTAATGGCTATCATTTATTGATTTCAGGAAATTTAAGGTTGTGCATGTTATTTTACCTACATGTAAATTTTCTTGAGCAGTAATGGAGCTATATTTTTCAAATATATATATATTTTGACATTATCTAATAAAAAAAAATAAAAAAATAGGCCTAGATAACATATTGACAGAAAAAGGAGTTTAATATCAAATAAAACTAAATAAGTATTGGAAAACTTTTTTATTATGTTTGAAGAACAGCACCAACATATAGAATGCCAATAAATAGTTCATTTCATTACTTACATTATCTTTATAGATTTGTTTTGCCACAAGCCAATACAATTTATAACCACCAAAACAACGACTTGTACATTTTAAACACATGTCATTCACAATTGCAAAAGTTACATGACATAAAAATATTTTTACAAGCAATGAGTTTCAATAATCTTATTTTGCAGTGCTGCTTTAATCAGTTATAAACTGTATCAAGACATGTTTCCTTCTAGTGATAAGTGTTAATGTGTGATAACACTGATATCCCAGACATGGACGGAGGGATTGTCAGTGAGTCCACGATGGGCAACCAGCAAGTTGGGTCCGACAAGAAGAACGAGAACAACAACTACGTCAATGGGAACGGACATTTGAGCGATAGCTTGGAAAGCGACTCAAAGTACGTCTCGATCGTAGACGTAAGCTTCACGTCTCCTCAGTATATCACCAAGGAAGAATCCAATCAAAACGTCGAGGTGAACGGACAAGTCAAACTGAACGGTGTGAATTTCCGAGGCAACGAAATAATAATCAACGAAATGTTGGTAGACGACGATGTAAATAAAAGTGTGATCGTCGTTACGCCAGAAAACGGACACTCAGTGAGTAGGTTGACGGTCAACGGAGGATTGAATTTGAACAGATCTTGTGAGATTGGTCGCGAAGCGTTGGATTTCTCGAAATCCGGAATTGATTTGAATCTCAAGGATAGCTCGATCATTTTAAGTCCTGTGTCGAATACCATGGTGTGCGTTCCTAATGGGTGTTCGACTCCTTTCAACAAACAGGAACCCCCGGATTTTGAGAACAGCATTCTGAACGAGTCGTTCATACTGAACGAAGAGGAGTTGGAATCCGTCGTTCCTGAGAAGCTGAAAAGACAACGGAGCAACAGCAGTGACTATTGGATACAGGATGATGGAGAGGATCAGTCCATTGTTTATTTCCTGGGGAAAGTCAACGATGATGTATGTAACTTATTTGTTGTTTATTTTTTGTATAAAATATTGTATGATTATAGTTGGGTCATTTTAAACGTATGCTTTGAAAGAGCTTTTTTGAGATTGTTGGTCTCTTTGACCTCTGCTTTTCTACGTTCACATATATACTTGCCTAAAGCAGGGTTACCTTGTTGTACCTTGCTGTTAGTAAAGCAAGGGATGAGACGATGCAGTATGAGAATGAATTGCACTAATAAATAGTACCCTAGTGGCAACACTGGAACAACTCACAACAGTGTCTTAGATGCTGACTTAGCCATCTACCGTAATGATTTAGTCTAGTTTATTAATTTATTCTTTTATTATTTTAACTACTTCAACCAATCAATGGGTTTAAATTGTTGATCACATTTTTATTACGTTGGTATTTTGAGGGATTGAAAAAAAAATGTTGAGACCATATCTGTATAGCATTAGGTTCCTTTAAAATAAATTAGTAGTCTACTTTTCCTAAAACTTGGACATCTCTTCATTCAGCTTAAAGTTTTTTCCCTAATTTAATGAAATTAAATTAGACTCATAGACAATGTAATAACAATCAAAATTGTATTCACAATGCTCTATCACTATGCCAGGTGTTTCATTTTAATATTTTTATGTCCATGTTCTACTGCTTCTTTACTTGTGAATCATAGGTTCAGGATAAAATTTTGTCAATAACCAATGATTATTTGCTATTTAAAAATACTGTGACTTGAAGATTCATAATAATTCTTAATCTGTATAACCCCCCCCTTTGTGAAAAAAACCAAGCTTAACCTGAAACTGTCTCATCGTCAATGATCACCATGAAAAGTTGCTCTACTGCTGAATAATAATATAATGAACTTTTAACGTTAAAAATAAACCATTACCATATTTTTTAAATATTTTTGATATATATTAACATTATGCAAAAGTTTATAACTTGCAAAAGCCAGAAATGTTGGCTTGTCTGCAGCTAATGGAGAAAACTGGTTCAAAGATAACAATGCACTTTGTCCTCAGTCATCCTGGTTCAAACCTGTTGTTTTCACTTCTATTCTACCTTTTAAAGGCAACTGCCTATATACCTAAGCCTGACATAAACTTGTTTAAACAAAAATAAAGATGTAACAATTATACATTTATTTAAATGTTGATTTATGTGCTAGCACCAATAAATTTGATTTGTAGATGATTTTAACCAGTTCAGAAATATACCATTTATTGAATACAAGTTAATAAACTGTTCTGGCTGGGGAAGTTGTTGTCAACTTTATACTTGTGCTAATCAGAATCAGCAAGATTGATGTGTCGTAGTTCTGACTCAGACTCACAATTGCACAATAAGCGATGACAAACGGCTGATGTGGCTTTGTGGTTTTGTAGACTAGAAAATTCTTTGTTGAGCACAATGCTCTGCAGAATTGTGTCAAATTGGGTGTAAAGTGGCCTAATAGTTGTGTATAGCATGATTGCGAAAATTCCCACCAATTGGCATAAAATGTCCTTAGTTAAGTTTAATATTTTAGAATTTTTTCTCATAAATTGGTGTAGAATGTTTTAATAGTTGAGTAATGCCCTAGCGGTTATTACTTAAAAACTAAAATCTTTAGTGAAAAATTTCATATCAACTGTAATAGTTGTTAAAATTTAAGACCGGTCAGGATTAAACAAGTTTTGTTGAGTAAAATAGGGAAAAATACTAAAAAAGAAACATAGTACCTATAGTAATGTCCATTATTCCATTAGACCCAAAGAGGCCATAGGTAGGATGTTTTGTTGTGTAATTATCATGGGATTGTTGATAACACAAGAGGAGGGGCAGATATGATAAGGCAGTACTTCTATTGCTTGAATACACTTAACTTCATTTTTCTAATTATGTAAATTTTATGTCCATTAGTTGAGATTTAATACAAGGTAAGAAATTTTGTTCTGCTTCCTTAATCCACAATTATATTTTTTATTGTCCAACGGGTTTGATCAATTAAACTAACAATATTTAAATTCTAGTTCCTATTTTCCAAAGAAGGGAATTAAAAATAAGTTATGCTAGTAGATTTAATCTTGAAATTCAGAGCTATTGAAAATAATGAAGTTTTAATGCAAGAGAATGGGTACCAATACATTTGTTTAGGAGAAATTTGCTTGGAAATATGTTTTGTAAGAAATATAATATCCAAATACTGTAATAACAAATAAATTTTAAACTAAAACTATGTCAGTGGCCCAATTTGATTATGTTCAAATAATTAATCGGCTACAGATGGTCTATTTAAATGAGATGTATACTTTTAGTATAACAAAACTCGATGATATTAGCTTTTAGCACTGGGACTGTATTGTACCTGTGGAAATTGTATTGCTCGGTAGCTGAGTGATTAAAGTGCTCGCCTAGAAATCAAGGTCGTTGGTTCGATCCTGAAAAAGTCAATAAGCTTTTGAATGGTTCAAAACTGGAACCAGCTGTGCTTAATCAATGGGTTTTTTAATAATGGTTCTGGCTAAGAAACAGCGAACCATTAGAAGAAAATTCAGTAAAAAAGCTACACATGTAATCTCACTCCATTCTACACTCATCCTTCATTTATATTCAGGTTAAAACGCAAAAATTTGCATCCTGTATTAACTAATTAAACTCAATAAATATCCTGAAAGAAAAGGAATGTATTATTAACGAAAGAAGGAAACAAAATTATTCCAATTGACCATCATTGTCAAAAACTACTGTCGTAATATTATCAGTATGACTTGTTAATGATCATCAAAACACACCCTTTATGTATAACCATTGTTAAACATGTCAGCTGATCCACAATGTGGCATGTTTAATCTTTAGTAGATTGTCACAAATTCCACATATGTTGCTCAAGCCAAACCAAGTTAATTCCATGTGTGTTTGATCAGCTGTTACATTTCTATGCCATCAGCTGTTGTTAATTGACGTCAATGTTATAGTCTTAGTCAGTGTTCAATTTATGACTATACCATTGCCGATTTTTTTAATAGAATTTGCTACACTAATTTCCCTACATTCACACTTTTATTGTAAAAGTAAATTTTTGATACATAAGTAAAAAAGCTGAATACAAAACTCAGTCTATTTTGACTTTTGACTTATTTTATTGCTAGTGTGTTTTGAATGACCGGATTTTATTTCTGTTCTACATATTATTATTTTTACAATTTAAGATGGGGATACAACTGGATACTTAACTAAAATACTAATGACTACCTAGTTATTGTAAAACAGAGTAAAATGCCTTGGGTAGGCCCTATATTTGTTACTGAATGAGACAGATTAGGTTAGGTTAAGGCTTGGTTAGAATTGCAGTTGATTTTTATCTTTTGCAGTGTTACACCGTGTACTTTAATTCGATGGGCACAGTTTGAGATACAAAACAATAGTCACAGTTTCTCATAGGAATTTGTTTAAGTGTCATCTGAGGGACATAAGTTTAAGGTTAGGTTTGGAATGAACTTGGTTTCAAATTTCTACACCTTGCTTTAATCTTACAAGTAAGATTTGTTAGACCAAAGCCATTCTCACGTAGGCATTTCTGTTATCCGAGTTAACTCTCGGCTTATCAAGTTAACAGCTGCCAAGCCCTCATCTCAAATGGCTTAGTCACCAAGGCCACTTTAAACCATGATAACACCGTTTCCTCAACTCTTTCTGTTATTTGATAATTTATTTTTCAGACATTTATATTTTCAATTTATTTTTATTTGTTCCTTAATGATTCATAAGTTTGTCGTGAAGAATGTTTATTGTTTAACTACGTTACATAATAATTTGTAAGGAATCCAGTTTTTTACAGTGTTTCCAGACTGAGGGGACAATTGACTCTTCGTACAAGGATGTAAAATAGAATACAATGTCCAATGCGCATATGGACTGTTTGAAGGAAAAATTGCTTTTTCAGAGGTACACATTAGCCTGTTTATGATGTTTCAACGTGTTTAGAGATAGTTAATGGGTATTGATAAATTAACACCTAAAGACTTGAGATTTGAGTTATGACTTTTTAATCGGTTACACGGTGTGGTGTTCTGTTACAGGCCGAGGCTCGATTGGCCGCCAAGCGACAGGCGAGAGCTGAGGCCAGAGAGATCCGAATGAGGGAACTCGAGAGACTTCAGCGGGACAACGAAGATAACGATAAGGTCTACGATATATACTCCACTCCAGGTGTGTTGGTGTTACCTAAACTCTTAAAACTTCTTCAATCAGTGATTTAGTTATATTTAAAATATGTTTCCCTCATTCTATGAACAGTCAAAAAGATCTTGAAAAACACATTATGGATTCACACCTCACAGTAAGGATAACAAATGTAGAAAAGTGCCTGATTTGAGGTGTAATTCATAAAAAAATCTCGTCAAATTCTGTATTTTCACTGTTAATTGTAGATGGATCTCTCCTACCAAGTACCACAAACTGGTAAACTCCTAGTTGCACATCAGTTGTGATTTCTTCTGTCAACCTATGAATCTTTCTCCTTGCTGGGGTATAGACTGCTCAGTTGTTGAGTTAATTCTATATTTTCTAAGAGAAAAAAATTTATATTACAAAGACAAATTTTAAAATAGGGAAAGAGAAACAACCAAAAATTTAATTTCGATTCACCAGAACTTATCAGGATTGCTTCAGAACCTTCCATATTTGTTTCTTAGAACCCTGGGACTTCGCAACGCTGGGTTGATGACCAAAAGTTTGTCCCAAGGTGACCTGTGCGGATGTGTAGCGTCAGTAAACACAAAAGTTGTAAATCAATACCCCCTTGAGCTAGGTTAGGTATTAGTTTATGTAAGGTATTAGGTGGGGTAAGGTATTAGGCTAGGTTAGGTTATGACTTAAGCGCTTGGATGTTATTTTGGACAAAAGTTTAAGTTATGTTAAGAACTGGGTTTAAAGGTTTTATTCTAAGGTATATGGTTTGGCCAGGCATTAGGTTAGGTTACATTAGTTGCACAGATCTCTCTCCTTCCCTCCTTGTTTTATCAACCTTCACTACCACATCCTGTACTTTGACAGTTGCTTTGTGTGTAGATGGGGTAGGCACCAGACCCGCTAGAGCCAGCTCCGTCACCAACCCCAGAACTCTGCTGTCCTCCAACAACAGCTACCACTCGTCCCGCCGCAGTTCTGAAGACTCTCTGGAGGAGGTCAACAGTATACGAGATGTCAGGGTGAGAAACAGTAACAAATTGATGAATCGTTGAAAGTTAAAACCCTGTAATGTTTGCATACTTACTATTAAGTGGGTATGTTGCTAGCTGTGGTAGTGTTTTGGAATTCGGTGTAAGAACAAAGGGCTCAATTCAAAGCATATCCACAAAGCTTTTTTTTTAACCGCTTTCTCTAAAAGATTTTTCTTACGTACAGAATGCCACTGTCGTGGACTTCATTTGCCCCGACTTCATTTTTCTACTCTCATAAAGATTACTTCTTTAAATCAATGTTTGAATTTTCTAAGATGGTAGTAAGCAAGCAGTATAACTTAACTGAATTAATAGTAGCCCTAACTGTTAATTGATTCAACATAGCCATTAGTTCTCTGCTGAATTTTTCTGTGTCTCAGATGGAACTGCGGGAGTGTGAGGAGAAGTTCCGCAAGGCTATGGTGGCCAATGCCCAGCTGGACAATGAGAAGGCTGCACTCGGGTATCAGGTGGATCTGTTCAAGGACAAACACGAGGAGTTGGAGGAACAACATCTGCAGTTGTTGGTGAGGAGAAATAGATAAGCTGTATTGCTAACAAAAAATATCAAGTTTTGTAAAACAAACAAGCTACAATAAATGTTTGCTTGTTCGACACGTTTGGGTGTTTAGCAGTGCCTGACTTTTGACTGAACGTCTTATAGAAACAGTTGTTATTGTGAGGCTAGTGGAAACACCGTTAAGAGTCCTTGGAATGTAGACGAATAATTAAAAAAGTACAAAGAAAATTTATAATCTCACAGTATACTAGATTTACATCAAAATCACACTGGTGTTTGAAAAAATATTTTGAGATGGTAAACAACTCTTCAGAGGCTGTTTGAAATTAACAAAATTAACATTGCTCTTATGGCGGACAAATCCAAGATGGCCGTTAGCTTCCATGGACGCCCTTGGAGAACAATTCAAAACTACAAAGAACATTTCTAATCCCACAGTTTACTAGATATTTAAATTATAATCGCTTTGGTATTTGAAAAAAAATTTTGTACGATAAATAACTCTTCAGCTGCTGCTTGAAATCATCCAAGATGGCCCCTAGCCTCCAAGGGCTCCTAAATATAGAGTGGTAGGAAATTATTGACCAGCGAGCGATTATTTTGTGTTTTATTGTGTTTTCTCTTAGTCGGTCATATAAAATGAAATAGAAGTAAAACACTTCTGAAATCCTTTAAGCCGTTAGAAACTGATGTCTGCCGAACAAACTAAAATGGGTTAAAATAGTATACATTGAACCTTTAGACCAATTCCGGGTTATTAAAAGTGACAAACTGTTGGATGTCGGATTAGCAGGTTTTTTATGTGTTCACTTAGTCCTGTGGCTCTTGGTACCCAGGGTGGTACCTCTGACTTGCCAACACATTGCCTGAGGGGGAAGTAACAAAAACATACTTGCACATACACAAATTGATTTGATTGAAAAATAGTAAGGATCAGAACAGAAATCTCTACATTCCTTGTGAAATCAACAGTGAAATTACAAGGAATCAAGAGATTTCTGTTCTGCCAGCTGAGGCGCTTAATTAGTTAGAGTGATAGTTAATTCTGGTTTGGCTAAGAAACTCTACTGTAATTTCAAACCGTGTGCCATGATCGCAATTAATTGTTGACATTTTCACTTACAGCGAGAGCACAAAGAGACCTGCCGACAGTTTGAACAGACCAAACGTAGCAAGACAAAACTGCAGGAGGATCTGGACGTGTCAAGAGCTCAGCTGGAGGAGTTATTGCAGCTGATCCAGGTAAACTGAGCAGTTCTAGACTCAACTCAGCAGGATTATAGTGCGCACCTTCTTATCTGGAGGTCGTTGGTTCGATCAAAGCGAGATCGTTGCTAGAGCCAGATGCCATTGGTCGTTGGGCTATCAGGTTATGATGCTTTCTAACAACAGGGAGACGTTAGATAGTAACAAAACCAGGGTTTGGACTGTTCCCTTACAAAAAACGTCTATAAATTCCACTGGCTTTGGTAGGTTCAGTAAAAAAATTATGTTTACAGGATATTATATTAGACTGTGGTGAGAACTTGTGTTTAATTTCCATGCGTTGTAGCCTGTTATAGAATAAATGTGATTATTGATTATAGCCGACTTGAGCCGCCTACTGATGTAAATTTCAATCCAATGTTTGTTGAATGAACTAGAACATCTCTAATACCACAGCAACAAAAACCAAACGGGAAAATACAGTTTTAGACTGAAGCATACTCTGTGTAGCTCATTGGAATGTTATTTTTCCACAAGAAATTGGTTACAGACAGTGTTGGGAAGTAGCGCGCTACTTTTTTTGTAGCGTTAGCTGTAGCTACGCTACTTTTCAAATTTTGTAGCAAGAGCAGTAGCGAGCTACTTTTTTTAAGTAGCTGTAGCGGAATTTTAGCTACTTTCCTCGCTACTTTTATATACTGATGGAGCTAGTGATAATTGATCACGACCTTACTTCAGCAACTACGTCTTTTGGACTAAAGTTAAAAAAAAGGCTTAACTACTTTACTTGTGTGAAGCCAACATCAAGTCGCAGCTGTTTTATTATTTTTCTTTGTAGTTTTGCATGGACATGGAGGGCAAAGAGTATTGATTATGTTGATGTTAAAGGCAGTTTTCACTCTCATTCCTTTAATTCGCTACTCTATGGTCACGAATCAGACCAAACCGCTCGACGCAGACGACGTTTAAAACTATTAGAACAGAACCTCGAACAGAACACCAGTTTCAGGCTATTGAACGTTTGCGAGTTTGACAGTTGTTGGAGTTGACACTACATCATCAATTATTTTTAAATTGTATGAGTCAATAGTTTTAACTTTGTTTTTCAATGGAAACAAACTCAGGATCTTCAAACGATGAACAGGCTGGTCCATCAACCGCTACTGATTGTGATTCATCACAAACCCTTCCCCTTCCTTGGCCGGCATATGAAGAGTTTTTTAAATTTAATAAAGTAAACGAAAAGGGTAATTATCTAATGAAATGTAAGATGTGTTTGAACTGCACGATAAGTGTAACCAAAAACTCCCCTTTCAACATGAAACTTCACATTGAGGTAAGCCAAGCCTAGGCAAATAAAAATTGTGCAATCCACACGACATTTACAAAGTTCCTAAACCGATTAGCTTAATTTATAGTTAATGTTATGTAGGACTTTAAGTCTTTGAGATAGGCCATAGGCCTAACTAAGAATTTGATGGAATGAAAGTGGAACTAAGTTAAGAGATGTTCATTATGGATTCGTGTATTAATCTATAGGCCTAGGCTACTTAGGATGTCATATTTCCCACAGATCTGTTTTTTTTACAATATAGGCTAGATATTTTTTAACAAACATTCTTTTTGTTGGCCTATTTTTTTTATGGTGCAATATATTTATTTTTTATTATTAAAGTTTTTCAACACTTTTTTAAATTGGAAACCAACCAAACCTGTCAAATGTTTATTTATTTATTTTCTGAGAAATATTATGAGAATAATAAGTCCAAGATGTTAACCGTTAGTCTAGTCACATCCAGTTGATTTTTTATAGGTAATGTTGAGAAATCTCCATATTTACCGTAACCTTATTTATATCCAGTAGGCTCATTAGGCCTAATAGGTGGAGTGGACTGTCATATGTGATTTGAATAGGTTTATGTGCCAATGTTCACTATGAAGCAAATTTTAGGCTATGATGCAATAAAATTATAATTTAAGTTTAGTTCCAGGGATTCTGTTAAAGCTCCTAAAAAGTAGATTTTATTTTACTACATCAAGTAGAGTTTCAGCAGTACCTACTAAATAAAATCCATCCTACGGTAGTTAAGTTAAGCTGCAAAATTGAGTTTGGTTAGCTTAGGCAGGCTGCATTCCAAATAAAATAGGTAGGCCTAGCTTTGGGGGCCTACGAAGCCGGATTCAGTAGCTTTTATCGTTTTATCCATCGTTTATTTTAAACATAATCCGGTATCCCTTGCTAATTTTGTTAATGATTCTAACTCATAAACCAACTCAAACTTGTTACTAAATAGTGGACAAGTTTACCAGCAGTTTATAAATTGTCTCTAGGATATCAATTTATTTCTAAGGAAATAAAGTGAATTAAGTTTATGTTATTGTTACCTGGTCAATGGGCTTTGTCTGGGTAAGTTAGGTTAAAATTAATTTAATTTAATTAAAAAAAAGGAAATATTTTATGAACCGATTTTATGAATATAGAACTATTTCAGCGCAAACACAGCAGTCAAATCAACAAGTTGAATGACAGCTTACAAAAATGGAAAGAGGCCAAACGTAAAACGGGTCAGTCAGGTCACCAAGAATCAATTCCGAAGCAAGCAAAATTAAGCTTCTATGATGGTATGCTGAGTACATGTAAGTCAGCGAGCAAAACCACTGTCGAAAATGCACTAGTTGACTGGGTAGTTGATGGCATGCATTGCTTCTCTGAAGTCGAAAGGCCATCTTTTAAAAAGCTTTGGTCAACATTAACAAATGTTCCAATAATGTGCCGTAAAACATTAGTCAAAAAGATAGGCGAGTCATATAAAGTCATGATTGATGACATTAACAACAAGCTCTCCTCAGTGGATCATGTGTGCATCACTGCAGACTGCTGGACTGCACATTATAAGTCGTTCATTGGAATAACATGCCATTGGATTGACCCATCTACCCTAGAAAGAAAAAATGTCGGTTTATCATGTAAACGTATCATTGGTAGTCATACCTATGATGTTATAGGACAGAACATCTCAGATACATTGGTGGATTTTAAAATCCAAAACAAAGTTCTTATGGCAGTAACTGATAGTGGCTCAAACTTTATCAAAGCCTTCAAGACCTATGAAAGTGAAGATTTGAATAAAAGAGGCTTAGAGGAAGAAGAAGATGAAGGCGATGACTTTGACATTAATCCTGTTGCTATAAATGAAATTCTGGAAAGCTACGAAGGAAGCTTTGGTGAGATTTCCTTACCCCCGCATCGAAAATGTGCGGCTCACATGATTAATTTAATTGCAACTAAAGATGTGGAGAAAGCTACAGAATATGACGCAGCATACAAAAAGATGTCGCGATCTGTGTTCTCCAAGTGCCAGAGCTTGTGGAACAAATCTAGACAGAGTTCCAAAGCTGCAGACACTATAAGACAACACCTGGGTGTAAACTTAAAAGTACCAGTTGTAACAAGATGGCACTCTTTTCACAGCTCAATATCTTGGCTTTGCAAACTTTGTGATGGGGTAAATATGGATAAAATGAACTTGGTTTGCGACGAAATAGGTCTCCCAAGACTTAAAACAACTGACATGGAGTTTCTAAAAGTAAGTTGTGGTGGTATTGGTTTGTATTACACGTTCACATTCTTTTTTCATTAATTATTGAATTAGTTGTAAGCTCTTAAATGTTATTTCTGTTTCGGGGCATTACTACAAGTTATATAGTAATTACTTCTTTATATTCTCAGAGGAGGTTGTCTGATCCCTTGTTAACCTGTAATTTTCTGGTATTTTTGCAATCTTAACTTAGCCAAGCACTATGGAAAACCCCATTTTTAAACTAAGAAATAATTAAACTCTTTATTAATAGTTATTATCTGGATATCTGCACTCCAGGTAGTTTTTACTCAGTATTCACATAAACAATTTCACTAATGATATCAAACAGAACGCCAGTACACCTTTGTTTATTATTTTGATTAACTTTGCCCATATAAAAAAAGTTTTAAATTTTACAGTGGCATCAAACTTATCCTTGGAGTTTTAGCTTTTAAAAGTTATAAAACATTTTTCAGGAATATGCTGATGTTCTTGACCCTCTAACTAAAGCTCTTGACATCCTCCAAGGTGATAAGAATATCTCTATTGGATATTTACTTCCCACGCTTCATCAGTTGCTGCAATATCTAGATGATAAGGTCAGGTCCCAAACTTTAAAATATTGTTTAGTATTGGCAAACGCTGTGAAAGATGGTGTAAATAGAAGATTTGCCAGTGATTTATGGAACAAGGACCTAGTTCTTGCCTCTTGTTTTCATCCAAGGTCAGTATAAACCTAGTAGCTTGTAGCTTAGCTGTAGTTTACTAACTATTATAGTTATTACTGGAAGTATGACCATTATACAGACTAGGATCTATTTTAGTCAGCTTAAATCTAATTAATTCAGAACAGTAACCTGGTTTGTTTGCATAACAAGTTTTGCATTTTTCCAGATATGCAGGCCAAGCGATTTTACACATAATTTTCGTAAACTAAATACCTAATATTTTTTTCAAATAATGCAGGCAATTTACAGTATACAGGCTACGAACTACTGACATGTAAACAACGTAAACAGAAAACAGTTCATGGTGGTTAAACAAATTTTCACTCAAATCAAATATGTATAATCATTCATAGCTGAGTGATTTACAGATTGTTTTTGTAAACACTTAACACATGCAGTTGATGAAATAAGTTTAAATAAGGTTTAGGCCTATAAATAATTAATGCTATACATATTCAACACTGTCATAGTTCTGTGTGGCACACCTTTTTCAAAAATGTCAAGAATAAAAAAAAAAATGCATCAAATTGGGTCTTGTATTACATAACAACATTTATCTAGTTATGGTAAATTAATGACTAATGCATCCTTATACACACCAATTTTAAAAAGTTCTCTTTAACATTTGTCCACCCCTCCATATGAAAGTAGACAAAATATTTGTTTGGTTTTAGATTCAAGCTAGTTTGGATTAAAGACCCGACAAGAAAAGAAGAAGCCCGGAAATGGATGGAGGAGTTTTTAAATCAGCAGAATCCTGGACATACCCATCAAGAACCCCTAGAAACCTCATCAGAAGTTTTAGATGATGATCTTGTTGACCCTAGCCTTGGCAAAAGCTTTTTCACGTTTGAAGATCACTCTGAAGGGCCAGGCGATTGGCATCAGGAGCTTGATAGATTTCTCAAAGAGGGTGTCAAGTCCTTTAAATGTTTGCAGGGTTATAAATTTATTATGGAAACATCCATCAAATTGAACACACCAATTCCCTCTAGCGCCTCAGTCGAACGGCTGTTCAGTGCAGGTGGAAATGTATTTGGGTCACGAAGGTCCAAATTAACGGACTGCAACTTTGAGCACCAACTTTTGTTAAAGTATAATTTTCAGAATATTTAAATTAAAAAATACTTTTTCAGGACCTTTTTGAGCACTCAAGTGGAGTACAATTTGCATAATGTAAAATGAAGTGAAATGAATAAATAATAACACAATAAATCTCTATACCAGTCTCTAAACAAGTATAGCCATAAATAAAGAAAGATAAACTACACATCAGTAGGCTAAACTCTTTAACACAGAAAGATTTGTTTTTTAGATTTTTACATGTTTAGTGTTTTTTGTAGTTATTTACACAAGACTTTTGTAAAAGCTTTATGTATAGGCCTGTTTTATTTTATGTCCGTTTAAACTTCAATTTATTTATTTATGTTAGATATAAGATGATTTTAAGTACTGTAATTCAATATTACAAAATAACTAGGCTACAAATAAATATTTTGGTATACTACTATACTATTTCAGTTGTTTTGTTTTTATGTTAGGTTAGGTTAAGAAGCCAACAAACAGAATTTATAAATAAGTATTTTCTTCCAAGTAAGATAAGAACAATCTCACTTTTTGGTTTAGGTGTTTGTAAATTAAAAACATCAAAAAGAGGAGTGTATTTTCATTCAACATGCTCTAACCTTACCTTCATTTGAAATTTTTATTTGTCTGTCATTCATTACTGAATTCTTCCAAAAGAACTTTCTTAGAATAAAACATAAAGGTAGTAGAAGGTTTAGCCAGTATATTTTTAATTATGTGTGAGGAGATGGACATGATTTGGAGTACCACAATTTATTTTATGCATTGTTGAATTACTTTTACAATTGTAGCTAATGTACGTAGAGTAAAAAAATATATTTGAAAAAGTAGCTAAAATTGTAGCTATAGCTACATTTTATTGTAGCTGTAGTTGTAGCTAGCTACTTTTTTGAAAATGTAGCAGTAGCTGTAGCTAAGCTACTTTTTTGAAAATGTAGCAGTAGCTGTAGCTAGCTACATTTTAAAAGTAGCTTCCCCAACACTGGTTACAGATGGTCCTTATAGATGGGATATCTACTTCAGTTAAAGTCAATGATATTGTTTACCAGGACTATGTAGAATGTTTTTGTGATTATTTTTGTAAATATAAAGTTAGTAACTTTGTCTGTTTGCTTTAGTGCTTTCCATTCAAGTCGCTAATTTTAATCAATAGTGACAATAGTGTGTTTCACTACTAATACTCTTTCCGTCCGCTTTATAAGTAGAAATATTCACTGATATTTTACTATTTTTATACGAGTCAACTGCTACAAAATACAATACAGTTTTGAGTATTTGAGGTGTTTGTTGTAGGAGAAAGGCCTGGTAGTGGTGGAAGGGGAAGAAGAAGATGTCGAATGTGAGGACGGAGAACCAAGGACCAAACCTCCGAGGAAGGCTCTGGTCTCAGCTGAGGTAGCGGACGTCCTACAACACGGCTCTGGGTCTCTTGGTAAGTCTACTGTGCAGGATGTCAAAATTTATGTCTCAAATAACATAACACTGATATTTTGTCCCAATACATCTTCAGTCCATCTGCTTCCTGATGAAATCATATCGGTGTTTAGCCGACTTGGTAACCAGAAAATCTAGGAATTGTACTTGAATTTTTATGACTGGGACAAAATCCTTAAATTGTATGGAACCAGAAAATTTAAGTTAACCGATCACCAAAATATCCGCCCAAAATAGCAGTTTGTTCTTGTTTTACGCCGTCAAAATTTGTGATTGCAAGAAATGATCACGTACATTGTATGAACTTGGGAGAAATCATTACAAATTTTGTCGCGATAACAAACGTGGTAGAAAAATGATCCCTTGTGTTGAGGAGACCGCAATAATTAATTAGCCTACGGGTGAAACGTATATTTTGACTTATTCTCTTGACTTACAAGACGGTAAATACACATAAAAGATGGTAAGTGGCGATCGTTTACAATTGGACACTACAATCAGACCCGATAGGTGAATTTAGTCTTGTGAGTCAACACTATAATTGTAAATATATGTTTAAAGTGTTATTAGACATATTTGTATTGACTTTCCGTAAATGTAATAACACGTACAACCCTGATCAAGAAGATGATATTTAAGATGGAATTGTCCTTGATTTTCATTTTGATGGGACGCTAGTCATCCTAAATATAGGACAAAGTATCAATGTTTGTATTTGTGACCAAGGTGATAAGAGGGGCATATCAGGGCAACCCCATTCTCCCAAAATGGGATATGTTGATAAATTTATGTAATCTTCATAACAAATCCCCATGCCTTCCGACTTCCGAGTGGGTTTTGCCCCCATGCTTCTAATGGTCAATCGCTGACACTGTTAACTTAAAAGTATTGCCCTACCCTACTGTCCACATCCCACCATTAACTGACCCACTTGAAGCAATAGCCTTCTGTTGCTCAACAGAACAAGATATTGTTTTCCATCATTTCCAAACTTTCACAACATCATCTAACAATACATCTTTATGATTTCGCCCATATCATCACGATTGTTTTATTGCAGATATTCGGTTGAAGCGGTTTGTAGAGGAACGCAATGAGTTGTTGGACGAGTTACGACGAGTCAAGTTGGAGTTGGAGGAGGAGAGAGCTTCCCGAGGTCGCCATGCCAACGGACCCACCGACGACCAGGACGACGTACAACGTGAGTATTAGTGATGTGTTGAGTCTGAAAGTCCTCCGAATCTCTTAGATGTACTGTAAAACCAAATTTTGAATCTTGTATTTAGTTACCTGTCGTTTGTTTGAGGTAGTAAACATGATGGGATCTAGTTTTCTAATTGACTCAAAACAGTAGTGTCTCACTATTTATATCCCCGGCTATTCTGGAAATCCGCCTATTCAGAACTGAACTTTGGAAATTATAATTTTTTTAAGACGTTAGTACAAAGCATCAATGCTTACATGAAATTGCATAGTTAATGTGGAATAGCGGGACTCTACTGTAAATAAAAGTCATATTCTATTGTAATTTTTTGTTCAAAAAAATCTTCTAAAATCAAGAAAATAAAAACCACTAAATTTGTCTAAACGAAACATTATAAATAACTTAAAGAAATTTCCATTGTTTACAGCTGTATCTAAAAAAATTAAAAGATCTGTAAGAACATTATTATTTAACTAGAGTATTTTGACCCACATAAAAGAATCTTCAGTTTTCACATACCCCATTTGAGGTCACAACACACATTAACTGGCCACACATACATTTTTGGACTTTAAAACCCTTTATTGATTGGTGATGTAGATTTCCCATTTAAATTATTAAATTTTAATTTTTGTCTTATACAGGGTGTCTAGTTTATTTCCATTATAAAATTTAAGACTAATTCCAGACTTTTCAAGACTAATTCTAGATTTTTCAAGACTAGTTTTTTCAACAATTAGTGGGTGTTGATACCAAAATGTATCGATTCGCGATTCTTGATACCGACACTAATACTACATCAACCCCTGTCTATGTCATAAAGTAGTATTATGATAATGTGGTGTTTTCAAGTAAAGAATAATGCAGCAATAACAAATTCTAACTATAAAATTTGGTTTTTATTATCATGAAATCTTCCGCGTACCGTACGTTTAGACATCATCATTGACTGCAGCGGTTACAGAAACGTGATCGTCGTCGTCCGCAATCACGGCAAAATCATGAACATTTCCCGCGGCCGTGTAGACATCATTGTCGTCTCCCGCGGTCACGGAAACGTCATCTTCATCTCCCGCGGTCACGGAAACGACATTGTCGTCGTCCGCGATCGCGACAAAATCATGAACATTTCCCCCTGCCGAGCAGATACCATCGTCGTCTCACGCGGTCACGGAAACGTCATCGTCGTCTCCCGCGGTCATGGAAACGTCATCGTCATCTCCCGCGGTCACGGAAACGTCATCGTCATCTCCCGCAGTCACGGAAATGTCGTCGTCGTCGTCCGCGATCGCGGCAAAATCATGAACATTTCCCGCGGCTGTTTAGACATCACCGTCATCTCCCGCGGTCACGGATACGTTATCGTCGTCGTCCGCGATCACGGCAAAATCATGAACATTTCCCGCGGCCGTGTGGACATCATCGTCGTCTCCCACGGTCACAGAAACGTCATCGTCATCTCCCGCGGTCACGGAAACGTCATCGTTGTCGTCCATGATCGCGACAAAATCATGAACATTTCCCGCGGCCGAGCAGATATCATCGTCGTCTCCCGCGGTCACGGAAACGTCATCGTCGTCTCCCCCTGTCAAAGAAACGTCATCGTCGTCTCTCGTGGTTTCGGAAACGTTATCGTCGTCGTCAGCGATCACGGCAAAATCATGATCATTTCCCGCGGCCGTGTAGACATCATCGTCGTCTCCCGCGGTCACGGAAACGTCATCGTCGTCGTCCACGATCGCGACAAAATCATGAACATTTCCCGCTGCCGAGCAGATATCATCGTCGTCTCCTGCGGTTAAGGTAACGTCATCGTCTTCTCCCGCTGTCACAGAAACGTCTTCGTCGTCTCTCGTGGTTTCGGAAACGTCATCGTCGTCGTCCACTATCGCGGCAAAATCGTGAACATTTCCCGAGGCTGTGTAGTCATCATCATCATTGGCTTTCGCAGTTACGTAAACGCAAGACGACGATCGCGCCAAAATCATGAAAATTCCCGACTTTGTAATCAAATTTAAGACTAAATCCCGACTTTTCAAGACCATTTTGAAATTCAATACTAATTCCCGACTTTCCCGATTTTCCCGACTACTAGACACCCTGCTTATAGTTTTTATATTGATTGTTTACATTTGCAGGAGAAGCCAACAAACTACTAGGTGATTACAAGTTCAAACTGCAGAAGGCTGAACAAGATGTTAACACTCTACAGGCCAATGTGAGTCAAACTACTTTTGGTATCTTTGTTACGATCTTGATATAGTAAAGGTTATTTGAGTTCGTTGAATCACAGGTTATACCATTGGAATTGCAGGACAGAAATATGTACTTTGGGGCTTGTCCTAAAAACATATTCAGCAATGCCTTGACATAACTGAATATGTTTTTCTGTTTATCTCTTTTATATATTTGTCTAAATACAAAATATTTCATGAAGCTTAAAGGTGTTATTTAAAGCCATACTTAGTATCCCTGTGAATAAATACGTGCTGAGTTTAACCCCACAGCAATGATTTTAGTCATTAACATTTTACCTAGCACAATTTTATTAATTATTTTTTGTCTAAAAGATGGTTTAATGAATAGAACTTATTAATGAAATAATTCATTGTATTTTAGTATTTCAATGTGGTTTGGTTTTCAGGTCGCAAGATTGGAGACCCAAGTAGTTCGGTATAAATCTATTGCCGAAACTTCGGAAAAATTAGAAGACGAGTTAAAATTAGAAAAGAGAAAATTACAAAGAGAGGTAAGCCTGTTTATTGCTCTACCATTGCCATTGCTCTAATAGTTAGTTTTGTAGTTATTGAAGAAAGGTCTTACTGTCTTACATTGAGTTTATAAATCTTTTTTATTTAGATCAAAATTAACTTTTGTGTTCCTAAATTATCTGCTCCGTGATAGTTGATTATTAATTTCACTCTGCTGCTTGCTTACTGGATGTCAAATAAACTTGATTTAAATTGTTTTGAAAATATCTGAAATTTTACAATAAAGCCAGGGAGTTGTGGTGAAGGTAAATTTGAATGGTAAATTTGCAAGGGATGTTTATGGGCCACAACGAAAGGTGCGGACCGATCGCACACTTCTTTCTAGTACAAACTCACTCGCCTTCTCAACGATTGTCTAGCCTACCGTGTAAGTGTGGTTGTGCTGCATGTTATATTAAAGAAAAAAATATGCTGCAACTGAAAATCCCGCTAGTTGTTAGGTGCTGCTTGTTACACGGTTTTTGTTGGTTATAAACATAAAATCTTTAGACATTTATCGTCAAGTGTTTGAAGTCTACAGGGACAATGTAATAAATTTAAGTTATGTCCGGAAATAGTGCATTCAGTTTTAAAATGAAATGGCCGAACTAAAGTTGATGTTTAACATTTTATTTTTCATGACAACACCTGACCTCTTGAGGCTAATAACACACAAGATCTCGTTTATTCATTCACCACCCTACAGAGTCTAGTAAGAGCCTCCACAGCTGTGAAAACAACAACTTGTCAACTGTCTATATGGGAGTGAATGTGGGCATAGTAAACTGTTTTAAGGGTTTTTACCTTTTTGCAATGTAAAAACCCTTAAAACAGTTTACTATGCCCACATTCACTCCCATATAACTTATGGCATTGAAATTTATGGGGGTACGAGTAATCAAAATTTAAAAAGAATTTTATTATTACAAATGGAAGCTATTAGACACATCCTAAATTTAGAAAGAACCTCTAGCAAAAATTCTTTAAGAAAATATTTCAAAGATTTGGAAATTTTAACAGTTCCGTGTTTATATATCTATAAAACAGTTCTTTATGTAAAAAATAATGAATCAAAATTAGAGCGACAACAGGATATCCACAATTACAATACTAGATATAAACAAAATTTCACAATTAAAAATCATAAAAAAGAAAAATATAAGCAAAGTCCTCAGTATATTGGCATTAAATTTATCCATCAACTCCCAGATGGCATAAGGAAGGAGCAATGCACAATTAAATTTAAAAAGAAACTGAAACAATTTTTAATAGGAAATTCTTTTTATAGTCTGGATGATTTTTTTAACTTTAAGTAATGTATTAATTTTATCTAACTTTAAGCAATGTATTATTTTATCTAAAAACTGTTATTATAAAAATCTTTTAACTTTATGTAATATATTCCTTTATGTTATTTAAAAATAACATAATGACGCATTCATGTACAATGTATCTGTACGTTTTGAATAAAGATTTTATTGATTGATTGATTGATTGGTCACATGTTATACCTGTAGTGATTGTGATATTGTTGTAGCTAAGGGAAGCTCAGTCTCGTGTAGAGGAGCTGGAGACTTCTCACTCCCACCTGCAGAGGAGGCTAGACAAGCTCAAGAACGCCAAGTCTGCCTTGCTCAAGGACTTGTAGCAGGCATGTCTCGCCCCTCGTCAGGTAAATATTATCAGAGTTGCAGCTTGTTCAATTATTTATTTCAAATAGAAATATATTTGCTGAGGCTATTTACATAATTGAAGGGCTGTACTCACAGAGTTAAATAAAAGATTTATCATATAGCGATTTATTCCTCTAGCCTTGTTTTTTAAAACCTATTTTTGTTCTCAGCTGCAATTGTAGTGAGCTACAAGGCTGATCCGTAAATGAAGGTCTCCGGTTGCAACAAAGCAAATTACAGTACAACTCCAGTTATATGAGTGAATTGCGACCATACCCCTTTAGGATAGTCAGAAATTTTGCTGATGAGATTTTATTGTAATTTGGAGTATTTTGCAAAGATCTGCGAAGCAATTGAAAAAAAGTGTTTTGCCTCAGTCGCGGAAGAGGATGATGCTGTCTACATAACATTTAATTTATCCGACCACTTCCAAACTCCCTCCACCCTTTACGCACATTTTTTACGTCCGTCACTTACTTAATTCTTGTCCGTCAACTGGATTTGAATAAGGTTGCTTGGCGTCAAGAACTCTATGGTGACCTTATTTATTACCAGCTCTTGTGAATTTTGTACTATAAATGGTATGTAGGTTTAAGGAAAAAACCTTTTCCAAAATTTTAAGTAGCCTTGTGGTTCTTTGAAAGTTTGTTAAAATGAGTAGGCCTACAAATGTTTTATTTTAATTTCTCATACTTTCCCCACTCCCTAAATAATAACAAGATGTTGTTCTCAGGTGGGCGACACATCATGATAGTTCTTCATTTTGCCACCGAAGCTGTTATCAGTGTACGTGCATTGTGATTGGCCGATTCCTCTTTACCAAGTAGAATAAGACGTCATCACTGTCGAGGGATCTCCATCACCAAACATCGAGTAAAACTCGTCTTTTGTACACTGTTAAAGCAACGTTAGGTAATAGTTTTTATATGAGTTCCCGATGTTTTGAGAGATTTTTAATATATAGACATACGTTTTATACTAGGATATTCTATTAATACATCTGTAATCTATCGTAACACTGTTAATTGGTGTCAGAAGTAACCAAATAACATTTCGGAGGGGACATGACAACTTCGGACAAACTAATTTGTTAATTTATTGTAAAAAGTCGAGACGTGTATTAAAGATTTTTTATTTATTTTATGTGATATATTTTGTTAATTGAATTTAGCCTAAACAATTGTTAAGATTATTGTAAGATTATTTATTTCCTTGTAGATATCAAATTATAAACTTACTCTGATTTTTGTGTATTCTTATTTTTTTGTGCAATTTTTCAGTAATACATTGTACAACATCAGAAGTTTCCAGTTTTTCATCAAATTGTATTTATTAAAAAAAGAATCATTTCCTGATAAATCATTTTTTTGTGTTATACATTTTAAGGTAGTTAGCAAAATAAATTTTCCATTCTTTGTCTTATCCACCCATTTTAATTCATTTTCTTCCAAGTTTATTTCATATCAATGTTTACTCCTTGTAATTTATATAATCATATCATAAAAATACACTTTAAAATGGTAAAATAAAACTGGTCAATGTACTGATTGTATTAACTGTGGGTGTCAAATGCTTTGTTTTTGTTTTAGATTCTCTACTTGGGGTTTTGCCTCATTTGAAGGAAAATACTCTTTAATTTTTACTATTTTGGCATTGTTTTTTGCTGCAAGTAGACTTCTTATCCTATTGCAGAATCTGAAGTCTGTATCAATGATTGTTTCTTGTCTGGTCATGTTCGAGTGTGGACTGTTCAGTAACAATTCTTTCTCGGTCTTAGTTAAATAACAGCTGAGCAAAGCTACACAGATCATCACACTCCATTCTACACTCATCCTTCACTCATATTTGGGTAAATACGCACATAGACGGCGTCCCCATCTCAATGATTGATAATTGAGTAGCTTACATGTAGATCAAATTTGGTCGTAATATTTCTAAAGTGAGTAAAATACACACTCGCTGAACATAAACTAGTCTTGAATTGTCTTCTGCTGATCCATAAAAATTTTAAATCTATATGGGGATAAATAAATGTCCACGGTAGAAAATAGTTATTTGTGCAACTAGTGAGCAAAGTGAGCAATTGACTCATTCGAGAGAAATCCTTACTCACGAGCCATAGGCCATAGGCAAACAAATTAATTAGTAAAGAAACGTAAAATATTTTTACACAGAAGTGAACTTTTAATATAACATTTAATGTGAAGTGACAAATACAACAGCTGACCAGCTGATTTACAGCCAGTGCTGCCAACGTATTTCGCGCGCATACGACCTTGTCTGCATGTTACGCGCTCACTATTTCGTGCCTTCACATTGCAAATCTGGAGTGAGACAATGTTAACATTGTCTCACTGATGAGCGAATTGGCCACTTTGCTTTCTCAAATCAGTGAGAGAACATGTACATTGTTAGGTAACTGTAGGAAAAGATAATTTCCTACAATTAATTATTTGACCCCACAATCAAACTACCAGAATATTGACTAGTTTATCTAAGTGTCAAAAGCTTTTGTCAAATTTATATAAATATTCAAAAATTGTTTGATATTGATATATTGTAAATAAACTGCAACTTTATGTGTAAATTAAATTGTCAAAATATATTTCTCGTGTCAAATGCTTGCTGTACAGTAAAACACTTGAGTACAAAGTAGTCCAGTTTTCTAAAAGACAGTGTGATAGTTAACATGTACAAACCTCTTTAATCATTTCATAATCTCATGTCATGTGGTTAACCTCTTTCAGTGCCTTTTTTAAATTTTTCTAAAATGTTTAATTTAAAAAAATTTATTTTATGATAATCAAAATTGTGGCGTTTCGGATATAATTTTTTTACAAGTCACATCTTTTTTTAACATTTGACATATCATGTTTCTATGTAGGGTAAAAAACCATAAAACGGTCCTAAGGTTGGCAATAAGAAAACGTTTTTTCAGATTAAACCTTTAGTGGGAAATATTTATTTATCTTTTATGCATTTATTGTTTCTCAACAGTTTTACAGTGAGATTTTTTCTCCCTTCATAATACCTTTTTCGTCATACTGCAGCAAAAACATCCGTTTTTTATACATGCGTTGCGGGTCTAAAGTACTTCTTATACTCTCTAGGGAGTAAAAATCAGCTTTTATACAGATGTAAATTTCGATCGTAGCAATCACATGGATCTAAACTAATTATCAATTGATTTATTAGGTTAGGTTTCAGCTTATTGAATTGAAAACCTAGAAGTCGTTTTGAGAGTTTATCCTTACAAAAACAGTTTTTTTTTGTTTTCTAGCTTAGTTTGTTAATAAGTGATGCAATATGACGAAAAATATAGTTCATCATACGGACAAAAAGTGTCTTTTTAACCATCGCTCATTTGCCGACCTTGGCTTCGCCTCAATTGTAAAACATTAGCTCGGGTTGAAAAGATTCACTTTACACCCTAGTGATGAAATATACTAATTAATTCTAATTACGACGGAAACACATATAATAAATTTGTGTGACCATTTTATCTTATTTACTTTAATTTTGGAAATGGTTGATCGAGAGCCAATTTTCAAAACATGGTTGTTCATTGTAAAGAATGTTCCTGAATGGATATCAGACAAACGGGTTACATTAGTGGATATAAAATTTGTAATGGCACTAGAAGAGGTAAATCTTTGTAAACTTGAACAGAAATTGTAAATATGTTTGTGAAACGATTAAAATTACAGTAACTATTGAAAGACGATATTTTTTAGAACAAATTTAAAAGAGATTGCAAATCGTTGTACAATTTTATTTTATGACCTGCTTTAGGTTTACACGATCACAAGTAACATTGGCTAAGTCAGGTTAGTAAGAACACGTTATTGAACCTGGTTGAATTTCTCGTTATGAAATCGTTTATTTGAAAAGCGTTGTAATTAAATGTGAAATGCACAGTAGATTTTGTAAGTTAACAAGCCGAGTCACTAATCCACTAAAAGTGTCAAAAGCACTGGACTGTTAGCCTTGCTTATGTACATAGCAAATACAACGTTTATACTGATTGTTTTGTGTTTTGACTATCCATTTGATCTCATGATAGTTGGTGTTTTGAAGTAGAGGAAGTTGTGATTTGCACGAGGATTTACAAATAATAGAGTTATTTCCGTAAATACCAGGGTAGTGAAACATAAACTAAAGGGCCGTTTTTGTGTATGGCTCCGAAATTCCAGAATAACGAGACCTCTGACTGCTTATTGCGATTATTTGTGAACAGAATAAAACCATTTGATTCTCTGTGGCTGATGTGTACGCTTCACTGTGCGTCAAGAAAAGTTTTAAAATGATTTCCTCTCCCGGCATGCAAGATAAAGTTAGTGAAATGTTTTTTGACCACAAGAAACATATCCAATTCCGAAATTCACCGCCAGATGTTATGGCCAGTGTGATGAGTGCATAAATGGGTTAGGGAGTGTAAAAATGTCCATGGGCACCCAGACTTCTCACAGGAGACCACAAAGGTAAATGTTTTCAAAGGCCAGTAAGTGGTGAGGAGCCTCGTTGTGGCGTACACAGGAACTACAGAGCTATACGCAAAAACAGCCCTTAAAAAAACTACCCTCGTAGTGTGCAAAATGGCATTTTACTGCTTAAGAAAAGTTCGGAATACCTAATGGAGTGCAGCAAAACACGCAAGTTACACATTCAATTTTCCCCAGTTATCACAAAAAAACACGATACTTTTTTATATTTCTTTATTATATAACTTCTTGATCAGCATTGTACGTGTTGTTAAATTTACGGAAAGTAAATAAAAAATACGTCTTATAATACTTAAAACATTTACACTTATACTGTTATTCACAAGACGGTAAATATACAAAAAAGATGGTAAGAGGTGATAGATGTTGATCGACATTCGCCTATTGGGTCTTATGATGATTGGAGTATCCTATCAAAATCGATCACCACTTACCATCCTTTTTGTATATTATTTACCGTATTGTGAATAACAGTATAAGCGTAAATATATGTTTTAAGTGTTTTAAGACGAATCTTTTATTTACTTTCCATTCTTTATTGTCTCTTACACTCTAATAAGACAGGTCATACTTAAAAAATTTAAAAAAAAGTAAAAGTTAAAAAGAAACTAGTAGTAGTAGGTTTAAAGAAGGTTTCTTACCGCTGTATACCTATATCACTTCCACATTTAATTAAGAGTATATAAAGGTAGCGAATTTCCTGATTGGAAGTAGCTATTAACGTAGGTGTTACGCCGGCACGGCAAGACTAGACTGGGGACCAATTTACATTTCATTACATTGTCCCCAGAGGCCAAAAACAATTGATAACATTTATATAATATATACAATATATTATGTGGTCTGATTTGACTTAATTTGGTATTCGGCTTTTACCCCTGTGTTTTTAAATATTGGTTTTTAATGGTGAATTTTCCATGAAATCGCAGGAATCCTGTTTTTCCGGGAAAACTGGATTTTCACAATCACAAACATGGTAATATTTTTATCACAATTAAGTATTATTACACATTTAACTTTAAACAAAATGGTAAAACTACTAATGCTATAAAGAAATAGGGTTCAAAAGTTGTTTCAATTTTTGTGTTCAGCCCTTACCCATTAGGCCTATGGGTTTTTGACAACCTAATGGGAGAACGTATGCGTAAGGTTGCTGATATCGTTTATTTAGGTAGGCTATTTAGAAGATAAGCTAATATCAACATGAAGCTGTTTTTTAAAAAAATCTGCAAAAACCACCCTCATAATCTGCACTAAAAAGATATTATAGGTAGTAAATGAAAAACCCATATAATGAAAACAAAATTTAATAAACTTTTACGTACATCAAAATATAATTTTGAGGGAAGACAATCTGTGGACCCTAATAGTCGTGGAAGAACAGCTTACAAATCAGTGGCAGGTCTCTTGTCGATCCAAGCCTTGATCTTTGGTAGCGAGGAAACATTGACAAGGAGAGCCTTGATGTTGGGATAGTCGGCAGCTATGTCCGATTCATACATATGGCTCAGGTAGTCGCTGATTCCCAAGAAATATACGTCAGCCCAAGACAACTGTAACAGAAGATGAGGTCAACAGGAGAATATAAACAAATTACCAAACCATTTTTCAATTCCTAGAATGCTATGCATGGGCCTTGGATTGTCTTTCACATTACTTCAGGCTAGACCTAGGGGTTGCGGCATTATCACTAAGATAAAATCTATCGGTGATTTGGTGGGATTTGAACCCGGGACCTCAGGGACTAAAGTCCCGCGTTCTAACCACTCGACCAGCTCGCTCTCCTCACAAGCCATTTATTTATTTATTTATTTATTTTCCAATAATCACATAACATCATATTCAGACAGGTGATTCGTCATTGTTACAATATTTTATTGTCTCTATTATACTAAAATTATTACTAAAATAAATTTCATATGTTGAGCCTTAAACATCTACATAGCTTCCATATATTCCTCCAATGAGAAGAAGGCCTTCTCCAAAAGAAAGTTTTTTAACTTCTTTTTGAATTTAGGGAATGAATCAGTGTCCCTAATTGAAGAAGGTAATTTGTTATATATTTTTGGGCCCATGTACTGAGGAGATAAATGGAATACTTTAAGTCTGTGTTGAACTGGTTTTATATTGTTTTTAAATCTAGTGTTGTGAGGATGGGCATGTTGATCTTCCATGAATGTGTCAAAATCACTTTTAACCATTAAAGCTAGTTTAAAGATATAAGAACTATACAAAGTAAGAATTTTAAACTGAATGAAAAACTCTTTACTGTGAGTAATTTGGGACACTTTCGCTAAGACTCTAACTGCTCTTTTTTGGAGGATAAAAATTTGTTCGGCATGACTAGAAGAACCCCATACCGTTAAACCGTAATTCATAATGGAAGAAAAATAAGCGTGGTATACTGCTAATTGTGTGTCTAAATTTGTAGTATGTCGAATTACCCGAAGAACAAGTATAGCTGATCTTAGTCTCTTTGATAGATTCTTAATGTTTGTTTGCCAATTAAGTTGCCAATCTATATCAATTCCAAGGTAATTAACTGAGTTTTGAGAATATATTGATGTTTGGTTTAAATTTACAACAATGTCTCTATTCTCATTAGCAACTGAAAAGTGAATTAGATGTACAGTAGACAGACTACCTCTTATCCGGACTCCTCGGGACCGAGGCCAGTTCGAATAACGGTTCGGTTAAACCGATGTCTCCAAAAACTCGTAAACGGCCACAGTGATATTTGACTTAAATTTAGGAGAGCATTGTATTTAGATCACTGGTCTCAAATCTTTCCCACGAGAACAGTTGTTTCAGTACTGCCCACTTACTGCCGATCTAGTCCGGTTAAACCAATGTGCTGATAAAAATTGTCCGGTTAAAGAGATGTATTTCTGCCGAGTGTAACAGATGAAATGAAATATTACTTTATTATCACAAAAACATTTCACAGATCCAGCGTTAGCTGGTGAAACAGGTGATATTGTCAGAGATCTTAAACACTAAGTTACATAACAAAACTAAAATCCACATAGCTTAAACTAAAATATATTTACTTATCATTTAAATAATCGGAAATATTGTTAAAAGGTGTCCGGATAAGAGGGAGTCTACTGTACACAAAATAGAAGAGTAAGGTGTGCGTAGCCTACTATTTGTGAATCAAACCTTGTGAAACATCAAGTTAAAATAGGGGAATGAAATAATTTAATTTTAACTTGCTTTTCCATTGGCCAAGAAACCGTTGTTATTCTTGATGACTGCATCGATCTTCTTCAAGTAGAATGGAGCGATTTCAGAGAACAGAGGTCCTTTCACAGCTGCCTTCCTTTGTGCATCCTTCTCATACTCATACTTTGCCAGTTCTGTAAAAACAAACAAAATTTTATAAGTACTTTTATTTAATTATTTTATTTTAAACGGTTCCACCATTCCACCACTTTACAATAAAAGTACTCAATCTAGGCTATCAAAGTTAAAATTTGATATTTTTGGTTCTGATGAAAGAAAATGTCTTGTTTTTACTAAAAAAAAGAACATCGGCCTACTTTGTTAACTAGGCATATCAATCTGAGACTTGTTTCTGTATATAATTTTTTAAGGACGTTACTCTCAACAACAAGGAGATTACCCAAATAAGTTTTTGTGAACCTATTACACAAATGAAGACAAGTTGAGCCTTCCCTATTTTCCTACATAAAATTGAGAATTCAAATTTCCCAAACGATTAGTAATTTAAGTTGGTTCTTAGTTTTAAGCTAAAAGACATACTTATCAATCACGTTTAACAGTGAATATTCTGAAAATATCAATTAATTATCAATTATCAATTATTTAAGATGGGGACGCCACTATGTGCGTATTTTAACCCAAATATGAGTGAAGGATGAGTGTAGTACATGTTTTAATGTACAGCCTGCCCCTTGCTACCCACTTGGTACTATTCTGGGGCTCACAAGACCATATCCTGGCAATCATGAAAAATCATGAGTCCTGATAAAAACACTTTTAATGTGTGGCCTCTTCTTGCGACCCACCAAAATTACTGATGGGTCGCAATCCATAGTTTGGGAACTAACTACTATCTACACAATGGTCGTTAAGTTAGTTATTGACGTTTAAACTAACAAAATATTAGCATTGTTGCAGTGGGTGTGGTAGTGATGAGGGGGGGGGGGGGGGCTTTGTCAAAAGCCTATAGCATTGTTGTAGTCTATTGCAAAGCTGAACGAATACACTATACACTGAACGAATTTCTGATCTAAAATGAGTACAGAAAGCAGCTGGTAAAAAAAACAAAACAATACTAACTGAGGCAAATGTACACATACAATACAACCTAAAAATTTTCGGTCAGTCATTCACCTTGGCTACTTGCTCAAGATAGTTACGTCAAGTAACACCATAGACAATAGAGTAGGCTAAATATAGACTGTCAAAGAAAGATTTTGCGATCTGCCGCTAGAGCGTTATCGCCGTTCGATATCGGTTATCGGTATTCTATTCGGTTTCATCGTCGACTACTCGCCAGCTGTTACCAGCACTACCACTCTTGCAAACGAAATGCTTACTATATCGCTATTATTGTCTTCTGCAATAGCGTCAAAATCATGAACATCCTCCGCGGCTGTGTAGACATCATCATTGAATGCCGTGGTCCCGAAACGTCATCGTCGTCGACGATTGCGGCAAAATCGTGAACATCTTCAGCGGCCGTGTAGACATTATCGTTTTGCGTGATCGTAGAAAAGACGTGATCATTTCTCCCGCGGTCACGAAAACGTCGTCTAGCACGGTCGCGGTTTAAGAACATCTCCCGCGGTCGTGTCATCATCGTCTTGCGCCATCACGGAAATGTGATCGTTGTCTAGCGCGATCGCGGTAAAATCATTAAATTTCCCGACTTTGATATCAAATAAGGACTAAATCCCAACTTTTCAAGACCATTTTGAAATTCAATACTAATACCTGACATTCCCGTTTTCCCCGACTACTAGACACCCTGGTTAATTAGATTTTACCTTGCAAATATAAAACAAAACCTTCCAAAACCACTTCCTAAAATTATGGATTAATAAAGTAAAACTTTGAATCATTGTAATGAAACTACTAAAGTATAACAAATATATGTTTTAAAAAAACCATAAATTATGGCATTTAAATTAATTTACAACTTAATATTAAATAAGTCAGTAAACTCCAATCCCGGGGAATTCCTCCAAAGTTGGCAACACTACTCCCAACTACCAAGTTGTTATGGAAACGGTCGCTAGCGCTTGATGCTGCAGCGGTGTGCGCTGTAACTACACATTAGCCCTAGCGGTCGGCGCCGGAATATACGCTAACCGCAGCACAGCTGACAGTCTATATTTATTTCTTTTTGTCTATGGTAACACTTACCAGCTCTGAAGTCATCGATCACATCAACAATCATGTCTATCTGGAGATCTTCCCATTCGTCTTTGCCAGCTAGACCAGCCTTGCGGCCGAGATAGCGAGTGATGGATCGAGATTGACACAACTGGTTGCCGTCCACGTACAACACAGGAGACTTGCCGAATGGAGTGGCTGTAACAACACAAGGTAGATAACAATTTTTGGTTGAACACGGACCAATGCTACTCTGGGCATTAAATCATTGTTTTTACCCCTAAACAGTGCTCAATTTGTTTGCCGGAACTGTGACCTATTTAATGTGATCAGTACCTATTTATGCCAATATTTTTATCTTTCCAGAAGAGAAGTACCGGAACTCCGTTCCACCGCAAATCGAGCACTGCTCCTAACAATGTACGGTAGATTCTCTCTAAACCAACCCTGGATCAATCAGCCACTACGATTAACCGTCTTAAACAAGATAGAAAAACGAATAGCAGTTGACTTACCTGCTCTATACCTTAGGAATTTAGAGATACCGGTTTCTATCCAAAACACAGCAATAAATAGAACAATGACCAAGCTGGTGTTTTGTTGGGAACCACACATGAAACTCACTAAAGGAATTAGTATGAAAGTGCATGAATGCAACTGTTATTGTTTCTTGAAAATTAGAAAACAACAACAAAATCACACACTCGTTAAATGAAATGAACAAGGTTTTTCATTGAACCAAACATCTGTGCTATTCCTACAGCGCCTATTTGAGGTGTTCACATAATAGTATATTTTAAATGACCTTTTGAGTTATCTGACCTGACCTAGACCCAGTCCCATAACAGACGGTTATGAGAGAGCGTACGGTTAGGACTAGGCTACTTGGAGAGAACACCTGGAAATATTACCAACGAAGACTAACTTACTACTGGCTGATACTGTTTTCACGATTCTAAAATTAAATGCTCTCTCAGGCTCAACATTGAATCGGTGGAAAATTCCATCGATTTGATCCTAAACAGGATCGACTGTGGACCCACTTGTTATTGGGCTATCAATCAATAGGTACGATACATTTTAACGCTTTCTCTTAGAAATAATAACTTACGATTTAACAGTCGCACTCGTAACTTATAATTTGACAAAACTTTGATATCCTAAGTTACTCCATCATATTTATATCAAATGGTACAATCGATATTTAAAGTTTTGTTATTGATCGAATCGAGTTGGTTTTACTTTCATGTTCGATAGCCAAAGGAGTCAGATTTTTAAGTTTCAGGCCCTAGAATTTAAGTAGGCATACAGAAGGCTTAACTCACTTGGCTTGATTTTAACCCATTCATCAGATTCAAATCGGTGATCTTCAAATTCCTCGCCCATATATGAAAGCATCATCCTGATAGGCTCTCCAAGAGCTTTCACATTAAAGTAAGACAACTTGTATTTCGGTGCCATGTCTTATCTGAAACACAATAGGCATATAATTTTCTATTGTTATAAGTTAGGGCTGCACTTTACTTTACGTCCTACACTCATTCGAATGAAAATATCGATCGATATATCGATTGTTCGATATAACATTTGGTTAGTTAGGTAAGGTTAACCTAACCTAACTAACCAAACGATATATCGAATGAAACGCTCGATAAACCGATATTTTCATTTGGTTGTTTCATTCGAATGAGTGTAGGACGTAAAGTAAAGTGCAGCCTAAGTTAGCACTTTGCTGCCGCAATAGTACAAAATTGTTCATTTATATGAACCAGCGACGCACACCTATGACAGGAATAGCACACCTAATGTATTTTCCTTCCACAATGACTCTTCTTCGCTACCCCCTTGCCAACCCACCACCACGTGACTACACGGACTAACATCGTGTTCTCGGGAACGGTGATTAAATAACATGCACTAAGTTATCTGTTGTAAACTTTTGTTAAAAAAAAGTGTTACCAACAACAATTTCCAAACATTTTGTTCCAAACTCTAGTGTAAGTTAAACAGGGCTTAAAATAAAATAGGCTAGGCCTCACTTGCTCTTTGTTTCTTCTTCAGGCTAAACCTAAGAAGGTAGGCCTAAGACTGCAAAAGGGCTAAGTTAAGTGTAATATGCTTGAAAAGTTGTAAATACTAAACCACTAAGTTTTTGCCACCACAGTGGTGTTGAGATAAACTTAATATCTCCCCTTGTTGCAAATTGTTTCTAACTTAGGCTGAAGGTTGATAACTATAGGCCCTGCAACAAAGCCTTAATAGCTTTAAATGTCCAGGGGTCTGTTTCATAATAAACTACAATCTAATAATTAGTAAATCAGTAGATCGCCAAATGTAAATCTAATGGATATTACAAGTTACAAGTTGTAACAAGTGTTTCGTGGGGCCTTGTATTTTCTGAGGGTTGGGTTAACAACAGTGGCAATCGGATTTGGACACAGTACTTAGTGCCTTAGCTCTAATGATTAGGCCTACTTACAGCTACCGTAACTCACCTGAAATCTGAGTAAATTTACTGTGGACAACTTCAAAAGTTATAAAATAATGAAATAAATGACGCAGCACTAACTTGAACTTATATGACAGTGACAGTGGGATGGGAAGCGGGAGGGAGTGGTGCCGCCGGTGCCGGTGGTGGTGGGGGTGTTTACTTTTACTTTGCACACGGACGGCGGCAAGGACAAGATGATAAGAAGAAGATAATATATCGCAATTCGCAATCAAGAGCCAGCCAACGCCCAACGCCCAGTCTCAGAATTGAGAATAATTAAAATTAAGAAGTAGAAGAAGCCACTCAAACTCGAGCCCTTGAGTGAGTGATGAAAAGTCAAAATTGTTTATAGTAGTAGGAGTAGAAGCCGGCCGGTGAGCACTTTTTATTAAATAACTTCTTGTACGTGTTATTAAATTGACGTACATGGTAAGTGGTGATCGATTTCGATTGGACAATCCAATCATCATCAGACCCAATAGGCACATTCGCTGTACCACACATACAAACACACACTTTGAAAACCACTTTTTTGGATCGAGGGGGCCCCAAAACGGATTAGTCCAGCCAATGAATGATCCAAAAGTAGGTGTAGAGTGCGTGAGCAGGTAACTAAGCGATTCCTTCAGAAACTTGTTCAGGGGGCTTAGGGTGTTAACATACCAAAAGTCCTGACTCCTAGGTGGTGAGCCAGGGGGTGGAGGGGGGAAAAGGGGGGGGAAAGGTACGCATTTTGGGTTTTTTGATTATATCTCGAAAACTATCAACTTTTTGTATACTATAGTAAATTATAAAATTGAAGAAGATTAAATTTTCTACAAGAAAAGTACATAATGTGTTTATTTTGGTTCAACAGATTACGAGTTATAACTTATTTAATTGATATCTTATTAAAATACTCCTTCCATAAGAAATACATGTAAATTAGTATGCGAAATGGGGCGAATCCTATCCGCCCAAAGGAAATATAACTGATATTCTGGAAATATTGACAAAATTTCCAGTAATTTGACACTTAAATCATGAAATTTTGTCAAAAATTAAAGCGAGGGTGAGCGTTTAAAAATGCGATGATTTAAGGTTTTTTTTATATTTCCAATAAAAAAACACCAAAACTCGAAATTTTGTTACCTCGCCCTCGCCTTAATTTTGGATCAATTTTAATGATTAAAGTGTCAAATTACTTGAAATTTTGTCAAGATTTCCAGAATATCATTTATATTTCCTTTGGGCGGATAGGATTCGCCCCATTTCGCATACTAATTTACATGTATTTCTTATGGAAGAAGATTTTAATAAGATATCAATTAATAAGTTATAACTCATAATCTGTTGAACCAAAATAAACACATTATATACTTTTCTTGTAGAAAATTTAATCTTCTTCAATTTTATAATTTACTATAGTATACAAAAAGTTGATAGTTTTCGAGATATAATCAAAAAACCCAAAATGCGTACCTTGGGAGACGGACAGCGTCCCAGATCTTTGTTTGGGTTAATCCCCTGATTTGTGGCCTGAGGGTAGTGGTCACCAGTGGAGGGGTGGGGAATCGAGAATTCTGAATCCCACCGGAGGCGTTAACTTTTTGTCAAAGATTTCGCTTAGAATGCGATTACTTCTTAACTGTACATCTTTTGCTAGAATTTAAGGCGTTTATAATTTTATGATCAGAAATATTTTTCGATTAGTAAACCTTTGTACGATTTTTTTCATTATCAGCAAGTTTGGTTGGTTTGGTTAGGTTATGACAGTTTAATTTTACAATAATTTAAAAATTATAAAAATGAATTTTAGGCATTTGTAGTTTTATTTTATGAACAGAACTATTTTTTTATTAAACCTTCATTCGATTTTTTAATTATCAGCAAGTTTGGTTAGTTTGGTTAGGTTATGACAGTTAAATTAAATTTAAATTCAACCGACAAACGATACGTTTTGACAGCGACAGTAATAGAGCTAACAATTTGAAGCGAACAGTTCGGCTACGCACGGTATGATGCGGAAGCGTTCGACACCAACCTAGAACCAATAGAACCGACAGGTCAACCGACCGTGATTAAGAGGATTAAGCCTGGTGCATGTGCCTACACCCGCGTACCTTATCCCCCCCCCTTTCCCCCCCCTCCACCCCCTGGCTCACCACCTAGGAGTCAGGACTTTTGGTATGTTAACACCCTAAGCCCCCTGAACAAGTTTCTGAAGGAATCGCTTAGTTACCTGCTCACGCACTCTACACCTCATTCCTTGACTGGACTAGATACATCCACTCAAACTCGAAAATGTTGACGAAAACAATACTTTCTCCATATGCGGTATAGGAGGAGAAAGTAAAAGGGGAAAAGCTCCATCCACCCACAGTACATTACAACATAACACTAATGTGAGTGACAATAGCGTGTTATGTTGACGTCATCGGTATATATAAACAAAACTAAGTTTTTTTTTATCCCAGGACGCTAGGCACGAGCCTGGGATTGTTTTTCACATTACTTCAGACGAGACCTAGGGGTTGCGGCATTATCGCTTAGATAAAATCCATTGGTGACTTGGTGGGGATCAAACCCCGGACCTCAGGGACTGAAGTCCCGCGCTCTAACCACTACGCCAGCTCGCTCCTGAAACAAATAAAAGTGTAGGGTTTTATTCACTTTATTACCCACGGCCATATATAGGCCGCGGCCTGGCAACGTCGCAAGTAGTGTTTAATGGTTTAGAGCCAGATGTCCCATAAGCCAACATGGCACATAGGTGGCCCCCCGTCATTCAATCACGTAACTTGTTATGTTATTCACATTGTTAAACAGTTATCATACTGACAGTGTTCCTTGTAATTTATGTATGTGATGCATGATGCAGACGTTATTTATTTGTTGTAGGTTACTTAACTTTTATTATGTATTTTACAACATTTTGTAATTTTTCTTATGACGAGACTGATATAGCATGTAATTGTTGAATGGTCAAATACATTCTTGATTCTTGAGTCTTGTTGCCACTTCGAATGCAGCGGCCTGGAGTTTAAGGTGGCCGTGTATTAAGTGGCTGGGAAACACTGTTAGACTACACCATAATGATACGAAGCAGGTACATAATTTGTCACTTGTGTTATTTTCTGATGCTACAAGAAATATACCACCTCTCATTACACAAATCCTGGACCACGAATGTTTTATTTGGTACTACGAAATAAAGAAGTATTCAGGTGATTCAGTAATTAAATGTTAAAGTAGGTATGTACTAAGCTGTTACAAAATTGAAAACCTCCTAATTAAGCAAAGTAAATAATTATATATTACAAGCCTGAAGGCTTGTTAGTGATTTGAATAACACACCTGTACATCCCTCTCATCGGCTTTAAAATTTAAATTACATTTTTAACAGTGTAAAATGATTTTTTGTATTACTTTACGAGAAACTCGTCTAATGTAGTGTGAAGATGACAAGTTCAACTGTAGATCATGCTCAGGAATTACTACCTACCTGCCAACGCCATATGTTGAATAATCTTTGGGTTCATTCCAACAATCTGGTGTTGACAGCTCCTGAATTCAATACGGGGCTGTAATGGATATCTGCTCCACAGTTTGTCAGTGATGTTCAGCCTTATTGCTGTATATATTTATTCTATTATATATAAAAAGTGTCAATATATGTCATACATTACAAAATACACTCATCATCTATCTGTATACCTAATACAGTCTCTGCAACATCCACTCTTTGCCCGTCCTACTTAACCGATGTTTACTATCTTCTATCTATCTATACTATTATAAAAAAGAGGTGGTGTCTGTGTGTGTGTATGGGAAAAGTAAACGCGAAAACTACTGGTCGGATCGGGCTGAAATTTGGCATGATGATAGCTCACATTCCCGATTAACATATAGGCATATTTTTATCCCAAAAATCCTTTCGGGCTCCGCCCCAGTGGCTCTGGAGTTTCCCATGTTAACCTTATGAGAAATGAAATTATTGAATCTTAACAGTTGTTTCAATTAAACAAGTTGGTTCTGTTCTGTGATGTTCAATAGCATTAAAGTTACAAGGATTACCAACAGGGTGCAGCACTAGCACTATTATTTCTTTTACATTTATGACAACAGCAAAAGGTGAGTGAGCGTAGCGAACGAACTTCAACCTGGAGGCGAGTGAGCGTAGTGAACGAGCTAACCTGAAGGCAAGTGAGCGTAGCGAACGAGCTAACCTGAAGGAAAGTGAGCGCAGCGAACGAGCTCCAACCTAAAGGTGAGTGAGCGTAGCGAACAAACTTCAAAAAGAACCTAAATTTCTTAAACCATGTCCTCACTCATAACTGCTATAAGCATTTGATACTTATATGCCAACCCCGTACGAAGGACGGGTACTCTGCTAGTCCTATTATAAAAAAGAGGTGGTTGCTGTATGTGTGTATGTGTGTATGGGAAAAGTAAACTCGAAAAATACTGGTCGGATTGGGCTGAAATTTGGCATGATGATAGCTCACATTCCCGATTAACATATAGGCATATTCTTATTTCAAAAATCCTTTCGGGCTCCGCCCCAGTGGCTCTGGAGTTTCCCATGTTAACCTTATGAGAAATGGAATTATTGAATCTTAACAGCTGTTTCAATTAAACAAGTTGGTTCTGTTCTATGATGTTCAATAGCATTAAAGTTACAAGGATTACCAACAGGGTGCAGCACTATTATTTCTTTTACATTTATGACAACAGCTAATTTGCAACCAAAAGGTGAGTGAGCGTAGCGAACGAACTTCATCCTGGAGGCGAGTTAGCGTAGCGAACGAGCTAACCTGAAGGCAAGTGAGCGCAGCGAACGAGCTCCAACCTAAAGGTGAGTGAGCGTAGCGAACGAGCTCCAACCTAAAGGTGAGTGAGCGTAGCGAACAAACTTCAACCAGGACGTGATTGAGCCATGCGAACGAGATAATCTTGAAAATTAAGAAGTTAAACGGGGCAAAGCCCGCGGGTTACAGCTAGTTTAGGTATAAATTTTAAGTTTATGATCCAGAGGAGGGAATAATGGTAACTAAAAAGCTTATTTTTAGGAGTTCGAACCTCTGGCGTTTAATTTATTTCTAGAACTCATTTTCAAAGGTCCAGAGATGGTGAAAATTAACTTAGTCTGCAG